AAATTCCATAAATTTTTCACATTATTAATGCAAAAATTCAAATCGAAAAATTCCGTTAAAATTTTCTTATTTTTATCATTTATTAATATTTTATGCACATAAAACGTATTTATGTAACATTTAGAGAGTCATGCACTATCTTTAAGATATTATGCTATCAGCATAATTTAATTATACTAGGTTTTAGTGTTTTTGTAACGGTCAAAATTTTTGAATTTATTTTTGCATCTTTTTTCTAGCCTAAAATTAATGATGTAAACAAACAATAATTAAATTGTCCTGAAATTATAAGGATACTATAGCATCTTAAACATAGTGCATGATTCTCTAAATGTTACATAAATACGTTTTATGTGCATAAAATATTAATAAATGATAAAAATAAGAAAATTTTAACGGAATTTTTCGATTTGAATTTTTGCATTAATAATGTGAAAAATTTATGGAATTTGATATTATGGGATTTCATCATGACTTAAATGTTAATCCTAGCGTTTATGGATGGAGATAAAAAATATATGGCATTAAAAACTTATAGTAAAGGCAATGCAGAATATGTCCTGAAAACTTCAGATTTTTTTGATTAACCAAAATAAGAGAAAAATAAATTTTTTCATATCCGTACTCACTCGTTACAAGCATTTTAATTAATTTTTGTCATTTAAGCTTATGTTGAGGTAAATATCAATTCTTTATCTGAAAGAGCATTTAAAAATCTACATATTTAGATTTCATTTGTTATTAATAGATGATTATTCATAAAAATATTTGATGAAAACAAAAAACCTGGCTTTCACTACTTTCTCTTGAGGATATTAGATGATTGGAAGTTCCAAAAATTTTTAGAATGCTCTAGTATTGTTAAGAAAATAAAAATCTACAAGTCTATATACAATATGTATAGTCAAAGTCAAAATTGAGGAAGATTTTTGTAAATTTTTCTAAAGTGTCTCATTTCAATTTCCACCTCAAAAATCATATTTTGTAAATAACTTTAAACTGCTACATTTTCAGTCAGTACATTGTTCCTGTACTTAAGTTATTTTTTAAAGTTCTTTCCAATGGTATACAACAAGTAAGGCTTAATCTTTCATTTGTAAGACTTTCACATAAAAAACATGGGTGTCTCATTTCAATTTCCACCAGTGTATTACAGAAATTACTGAAAAGTTACGAAAACGCATGCAGGAAAGATATCAAAAATAATGAATAACTTGGTAAGATCTGCAACTATCTATAAGATTTTACTAATATGTAGTTTAATAAAATCAAATCAAGCATTAAAAATACTTCCTCAATACTTGGAGAGTAGCTCATAAGTACAAAACGACTGTTTTTAACAACACGAAGATTCAGTTTTTTTTCTGGAATCAATCATTAAGCTGAACAATATGAATTAAAGCTTTTAAAAGGTTAAAATTAGAATGTTTTCTATTCTTTCAGATTACCTTAGGGGCTGTTCACTTATTACGTAACGCGAAAAAATGACTTTTTAGACCCCCCCCCCCCCCCTCGTAACAAAATTTGTATGAAAAAAAATTTCCTTGTTTGAACCGTAACAAAATCTTAGACCCCCTCCCCACCTAAAAGCGTTACGTAATAAGTGAATGGCCCCTTAAATGCTTGTTTAACAATCACAACTCATAAATCCAAATTATTTATCTAAATTGCTCAAAAATAATGAAAGTTTAAATTTTTCTTTTATATTAAATTAAATTCAATCTGATATCTGTCTTGTTATTGCACATAATAATCAAAAATTGTGAGTAATGATCATCTAAATAAAATTTCCGGTTAATGAAAGAGCTTCTTTCCAAATATTTAGTCATAATCTGTGCAAAATCATCATATTCATTAAATATTCCATCGGAATAGGAAATTTCTCATTCACCACAGTGTCTGATTATGTCGGCATGCAAGTATTAACAATATTTATATACAAAACTTCGTTTAGCATTGAAACAAGTTTGTAGAAAACTGCAATTGAGTGTTTTGTTTCTGTTGAAATCCAAAATTATTCAGAAGGGGCCATTCACTTATTACGTAACGCTTTTAGGGGGAGGGGGGGTCTAAGATTTTGTTACGGTTCAAACAAGGAAATTTTTTTTTCATACAAATTTTGTTACGAGGGGGGGGGGGGGGGGGGTCTAAGAAGTCATTTTTTTGCGTTACGTAATAAGTGAACAGCCCCGAACTCATCCAGTGAAATCCAATTCGGATGAGTCAAACTTTTCTGTTTATTAAATAAGTGGGAATGTCTTACTTTGTCTTAATATTGTATGGAGAGTCCAGCTAGTTTTATAGTTTTGATACTAAAACAACGGTCAAAATAATTTTGAAAAATAACGGTTGAAATAATTTTGAACAGTAACGGTTAAAATAAATTTGAAAAAATAACGGCTATAGCTTACAAATGATGAAGCGGAAATACCTGAAAACTTTTCAAACTGTAGAAAAAATTCAAAACGCACAAAAAAAAAGTCGAGCATAACAAGAAATTTTAATTATAGGTCATGATTAAATTTCCTTCTCAATAATAATTTGTAATCAAATTTTTCTCTTGCTTTTTATTTCCCTCTCTTCTATTTCTTCATATACAAAGTTTGTAAAAAATGTTTTTGTTGCTTTTATGTGACAGAAAAAATCTTCGTTTTAATTTAATTTTTATATCATTGCGCATTCTTTTTAAAACCAGATTAATGCACACTAATCTATAATAATGTAGACTACAATTGTATATTGTGTGTATGTATAATTATGTAAGCAAATTGTTGGACAATCAAATTCCTTCATTTTTAATGTTTATGTACATGAGAATAATCAGAGTTTATCTCGGGACTTGTCTTCGACATTTCTATAGAAATGATTCAGCATTTCACATTTAAAAAATTCATATGCATTCCCTATCCACAATAATAATAATAATAATAATAATATAAATCATAAAAAATTATAAAACAATCTTTAAAAAAATATCTAAAAAATAAAACTTTTTTTTTCTTCAATTTATAAAGAGAAAAAAATAATAAAGGCACTAGTCATCATCTTTTTTAATATTGAACTTCAGAGAAGCATAAAAAACTAAAATATATATTTTACATGCGCAATTAAAAATATTGCTTTAATTAAAAGAATAATTATAAGTTCAAAATTCAAGATCAGATTCATCAAGATTTTTTCGCAAATTCAATTGAAGATTTTTGATGCTTGGGAAACTTGTAACTTGGTGCTTTAGAATAATTGGTGTCATAGTTGACTATTTTAATTGGTGGACAGCCATGGAATTAAGAATATTGCTTGACTGTTAAGCTAGAGGACTCTTTCCTTGTGTAAAACTATCTACTTGAATGTGTATGCTTATGATTAATTTAGGTTAGGATTGTTGCATCTTAAAAGATATGAATATTGTGAAATAAATTCTACTGAATAATTGGCATGATTAGTGCAACAATTTTATTATGATTTTCTATGGTAAATACTGCTTGTAACCCGAATTTGACTATTCTAGCCCTAAACAAATTTAAAGATCAATTGTTATTTTGGTTCTAATTCAAAGAGTTTGAGCCAAATCGAATCTTATGAAATGGTCAAGCTTGAAACTTGAAGTTTGAAGATCAATAAGATTAAAATTCTATAAAATTTGAACTTTAGCCGAGAATCTTCTTAATTTGTTCAACTGAAGACTCTTCTTTTCTTGAGGTTATCGACTCAAACGCTTAGTTAACCCGCGAACTATGAACCATAACTCCACAACATATCTGAATATAGTAAAAGCATTAAATTGCTAATGCTATTAAAATTGCATGCCTTTGATCATTATCTTACGTTATCCAGACTTCAATTAGTTGTTTAAAAGCAAATTCTCATTTTTAAAAAGTCTCGTTAATTTTGCCAAAAATAATTTGACTTTTGTATTTAAGTTTATCAAATTTAGAATCTAGAAATTGACTAATAATTTCTAATTTGCTTTAGCTATTTTTAAAAGCTCTTTGATTTGCTCAATATTTGTTATCTACTTCCACAACAACCTTCAATCAAAATTACAGAAAAAAATCATGTGAATCTTAATCTTAAATTCTTAATTTGTTGCTAAAAACGATATATAGTAAAAGAGTAAGAAGCAATTATTCTAAAAAATATATATTTATATAGATTTGTATTAAAAATTGAAGAATAAAGAGGGCGAGAGAGAATACTATAGAACTAAAATATCATGTCATATATGTAATATAATAATAATATTTAACAAAATTGTGGTAATTGATTGAATTACGAGGGGATCTAATTGAGAACGTTTTAGTTTCACTCATTCAGCGAGTGCGCATCAATTTATTTCACATAACTTCTTCTCACTTTGTAATACAATAAATTCATTATGTAATAAAATTGCAATAATTTTTTTTTTTTTGCTCCCCCTTCTATAAAATAGCATGTAGCAAGTAATTCGACTTAAGAGAGTGTTTTGTTCAATTTAATTAAAAATGCGCGTAACGCAAGTTTCATAAATCACTGTCTAATTGAATTATAAGAGCATAGGAATGCTTCTTCTTCTTGTTTATCATCGTCTGTTTATAAAATACTGATTATTTCTGCTTCTTCATCTCATTCTTTAAATTCTTTCTCAGCACATTTTTGAATGGCAAGTGAGTTTCTTTGTTTATTTTTGAGTTGCTGGACGTTTTTGTTTATTCTATTGCTTAAAAACTCGGACGCTTGCTAATTTTTGAACCTGTTTTGTTTATTTTTGTATAAAGAAAATTGAACTAAAATGTTGTTTACACATTTTGGCGCGGAAAAATCGAAACTTGTAATCTTCCACTAGCATTCATGATTTTTCAATGCTTTATTAAATGAATTCTATGAATTTGCTTGTGACTGGCCATATGTGATACTTGTTTCACAATAAAATTGACTAATTTGTGTTAAATTCATTGTTTTCAATTCCATTTGATTCACTTCAGTTCAAAGATTAAGTTCAAAATTTAAGTTGAAGTTCAAAAAATATTAAATCTCAAAAAACCTTTAACTTGCTCATTCTAACTGCGATTCCCTTTCAATTCCAATATTTGTGCGTAAAATCTTTTCTCGTGTTTGACATAAGAAATATTGAATTATTACATGAATATCCTGTAGAAATTTAATATTGCATACTAATGATTGCATTTTACTTCTTAAAAAGTTTACGTACAAAATGTTTTAAGCAACACTAAAGCGACGACGTAACGTTCTCACATATTATTATTATTTTTTTTTTGATCAATACTTTTAATATTTTCTTTTTGAACAATTTTGGAAAGACCATAAAAAATGCGTTAAAAATATTATTGGTGTCTAATATAAAAGAATTAATTATAGAACAAAAAGGAAAGACTTTACTTGTCCCTGTTTAAAATTCGTCTCGCTGCTTTTATCAGAGGCGTAAGGCTTTTAAGTTCAGCATAATCTTTCAGGAAAGAATGATCGAGTAACTCACGAGCCGATGCACGCTTGTCGACTTCAACTTCTAAACAACAATTTAGAAAATCTTTTAATGGCTCTGACAATTTCTCCCATGATTTAATTTCTGGTCGTCCGTTCGCGGCTATTAAATAAAGAGCACGAAGTGGCGCTTGGCTGTAAATGAAAAGAATTAGAAAGGAAGTTAATTAAAAATGAACTGAATTAAGTTGATAAGAGCAACAAAAATTCTAATAAAAAATGAACATAATAGAATCAAGCATTAGCATGTAGGCGACACGCTTAGAATTATTCATCGTTATGTCCATTATGCAATAAAACTTGTTGACACGAATCGCGAAATTTTTATATTTTTTTTTTTCATTTATAACTTGACTCACTTCAAATATGGTGGGCTGCCTTCGATCATCTCTATTGCCATAATTCCGAGTGACCATACATCAACTTTCTTTCCATATTGCTTCCTAGTCACGACCTCAGGCGCCTGTGAAATTTTATAATAAAATGATTGATGACAATGATATTCATGAAAAGCAATAAAAAGTTTGTACATGACGTGAGTTTCTTCAATTAAGAAGATTACAAGATTATTGTTTCGATACTAATACTTAAAATGACATTGTATTCGCCGCTTGTGAAATTTAGGTATTGGGAGCAAATTTATGGATTATCATTAAATTAATTGCATTCTTTAATATCGCCTAGTTTTGAATTTGTATGTGATTTTTGGATGTGTTGCGAGAGATTTTTGAACTTTCAATGATTTTTGGGTCAGATGTGGTAAATTTTTTTTTATTTTAATTGCACTTTATTGCATTTATTGACGACACACTGTCCGGTAATAATTCACATTTTACACTTTTGTATGTGTATACATATAAATTAATATTATGTAGGATCAAACTTCTAATATCAAATCTAGGTTTCAAATAAACTAAGGCTCTCGTTTCGATCTTCTGTAGGCGTGACGTGATACTTTTCAGGTCCGTTCTAACAATATTCCATTCGTGGGTAATCTTGTAGCTCTCGTTCCTATTTCTCCCGCTACACTTCAAGTTCCTGACCCTTTCCTTAATCCAACGTTTCCCAAATGCCCAATTATGGCTTGATCTCCTACATTAAGCAGTCGAAGTTTCTAATCTTCCGAAAAAGAACAAATTTGGAAATGGCTGGATTCGAACCGACGACCTTCGAGTTACCATCCCAAATTTGAGCCAAGCGCCTTACCTATTCGACCAGCAAGGCACTTAACTGCTTAAGTTAAATTCAGAATTCAAAAATAATTTAAGTTCAATTTTCAAAAATTAATGGTCAAAAAGTTTGCAACCCCTGAAAACTAAGACGAAAATAAATGTTTAGCTTAGCGAATCGATTCTGTTTACACTTCTCGTTGACACCTCGTAAGAATTTATTAGGAATTTTAAGTGTAAACAAAATCCGAGTGTGACTTCTTTTTTAGCACGCACGCAGGTATTAATTTTTTTCAATGTTCAAAACGCAATTTTTACAATCTAATTCCATAATTCCCACGATATTGGAATTCTGAATGTAAACACAACCTAGTCCAATAATCTCAATAAAGTCGATTACAATTCTTTGTAATTCCTTTATCGACACACTGCAATGTCATGACTTTGTTTTTAATAAACACCTTCTTGCTTGTCCAATAACCCAAAATGATAAAATCTTCAACTCACCATCCAATATGGAGTTCCCACCATAGTTTCTCTCTTCTCATGCTCCTCAATATTCGCACAGAATCCAAAATCTGTGACTTTGACTGTTCCATCGAGTCCCAATAATACATTGTCTGACTTTATGTCTCGATGAATTATACCCTTCTTATGAAGGAAATTTATAGCATTGAGCACCTAGAAATTAAAAATAATTAGCAAGCTATTCAGACTTATTCATGCGGAGTCATTACCTCTCGACAAACTGCTGCAATCTGTCGTTCATTCATAACCGTTTCTAAGGAAAAAATAATATTTTTTTATTTAACTTGAAAAGCATGTGAGAACATGAAGGGTCTTACCTGTTACTACATCTGTTAACGGGCCACTATAGAAAAGAAGAGTTGACATAAGAGAATGAGTAAAGATTAAAAAAGAATAAGAAATAAAATATGAATAATTTAAAGAAGAAAGTGCAATATGTGATCAAGGCTTGGGGAATTAGAGTTGCGGAAGTTAACAATTTAGAGTGAGTCACAGCTGAGGGATTTTTTTTTTGTTATTGGATAAAAATTGTCACGTTTAATGGAAAGTTTTTATAACTTTATGCAACAATGTTGATATTGGCAATTAGGAGACCCAAAAATATGATTCATTGGATTATGCACAGCTATTATCTATGAATCAGTGGTGGATATCTTTTAAAGAATATCTTCAAAGATTCGTGAATGACAAATCCTCATCATTTTCTAAATTACTGAATCAAAATTGAGTGATTCAAAAACAATTTATTTAAGATGCAAGAATAATCTTATAAATTTGACAAAATTAAAAACTCATTCACTACTCAGATAAGAATGAGGTCAAAAATCTAGTAGTATACAAAAATCCAAAGCTCTCATGCTGAGTAAGAAGAAAACTATCAAAAAATTGTCTAAAGTTAAAATTCTGGAAATTATTGTTATCAAATGTTCCTCAAGAATATTAGGAATTAGTCTAAAATATTCAAGTGTGGGTACCAAGGAAGCTTATCTTAATATAATCCTAACCTAGAGACTAATATCATGAGATAGATTTCAGACTAATGTTCAACCTCAAAATTGTTTTCAACACTTAAATCATAACATTCTGGATCAACTTTAAGATTTTAATAGACTTCCTTGAGAATTAATGTAAAATTAGCACCCTAGATTTAAACAAGCCTAATATAGACTAAATCTGAATTGTTTTGAAAACATTAAAAGAGATGAGTATTGAAATTATTTCACAGAATTTTGTAGAACTTATAAAGTATCATCATGAGTCAATTAATTCATGAATAAAGAATCATTTCCTGACAGAAATACACATATCCCGATATTATCTCAAAGATCAGCAACATTATATCACATTCTCATAGATCATTAATGAATAGAAAGGCATCAACTCACCCATTCATGTATTCTAAAACGACCCAAAGATTATCCTGCTCCTCAAGATAATAAGCATCGAGGAAATTGACTAAATTTTTGTGATTAAAATCTTTCAGCACCCTGATCTCATTTAATATAAGTTCTTTGGAAGACTGATTTTTTAAATCAATAGTTTTGATGGCAACTTGATTTCCTGTTTCTAAATCTAATGCTATGAACACAACACCACTTGCACCTTTTCCAACTTCCTTCTGCTTCTTATATTTCTTTAATGGATCTGATAAATTACATATGCTCTTTAATTCAGCATAAACTTCCTCATCAGTCTTCGTGACACGTTTAAGGCCACTCTTTGATCGAAGTATTGGCTCATCATTCTCAATATTATCATTGACGATGAATGTATTATTGTTAGAGAAATTATCCTTATCAGTTAACGTTGTTAAATCACTCTTTTTGGCAACTATCGTTGATTTTGCGTTTGTATGGTGGTGATCGATATTATTATGATTAACTTCCTTATCAATGAGTCGTAAATCTTCCATAGCATGGTGTGGAGCTTTTGTTATTCGTGTCGATAAATTTGGTTTTGGAAGTAAGGGGGGTTTTGGTGGTAATGTATTGGACTTTTTCGGAATTGGTGGAGGTAACTCGGGTGGAATTTCTGGCTGTTCAGGCTGTTGATGAGCAAAGTTCTCTTCACTACTGCTATGGTCATCACCAAACGAATCTTCCGAATTGTGAGCATTTCTGGCATTAAGATAGTCTTCAATTTCTAGAGACTCTTCAACAATCGCTTCCTCAGTTATGAAAGGCTTAAACGGTTCCACTGTGTCTTTCTTCTTTATTGAATAATTGTAAAATTTCACCGCTTGATATGCTTTAAATAGAATTCATGATTTTTTTTTTACTATGAGTCATCAACATCATTATTGTCGCTATAAGCTCTTATGCTTCACATTTATTTTTCCTCTTTTTTTTTTCATTCCTCTTCGTCATACGACGAGACGAAAGAAATAGAAGATCATATGAGACATATGTACATACAGGAGACATGTACGTTGAAAATGTCATGAACCTACCTGCATCGGGATTTTCATTTTGCTCATCCTCAGTTATTGTCGTTTTAAGCAATTTCTGCCAGGCCTTTGGCAATCCCTCTAAATCTCCCGTCACTGTATTCTTACTAACATGAATACCACGAACGACATTCGTTGGTAGACCAATCTCACTTATCGTATTAACATGATTCTCTTTATGTTTTTCTTTACGACTAAAAATTTTCTCCTTCAACGACTTCATGTTTTTTCGTAAATTCACTTACTATTGAGCACTTATAGACTATCAAACACAAATTTATGAAATTTAATGTGACATTAATTAAAATTTAAAATAATTTTTTGCAATTAGAATTGAAGATAATGTCTAAAAAATGATTTTTAAAAGGATGGGTCGATGACTAATGTTTCTTTGCAGGGGTTTAAAAATATGTTTAGAGTGAGCAAATGATGTTTTATGTGTGGACAGTCAATAATGTGACTGGATTTTCTGAGATACTGTAGAATTTTAGATATTCGAAGACTCTTTTGAATTTCTGAGTGATTAATTTTGCTCGGAATCGTTTAAAAAATAAATTGAAAATCTTTCAATTCTACTTTTTCAACCCTGAGTGTAGCTCAACATCGTTAGCGCGTTTTACAGAAATATTTGAATGAGCAACGAGTGGAATTTTAAATTCTCATGACTGATAATTTTTTTGAAAATGTTTTTTTGCACTTGATAATTTTTTATCAATTTTGATAAGATACCGCAAATTCCTTATATAATTAAAATATTATTGTGAATGCTATCAAAATTGTTTTAAATCTATTAGATTTAAAAAAATGATTCCTTTTGAATTTTTAACACGCAAAGTTTTTGGTACCTGAAATTTAAATTTCTTAAAGATTTAATTTGTAAACAAAATGAATCATTTATGTTAATTAGATTTTTAAGTAAGGCTTGATTAAGTTTTTGAATTTTAAGTTTCAGTTAAGATCAGTTGGTAAATAGTAAATAATTGCTCTCAATCGATATCATTAACACACAACACCCTGACTTAAGAGCAAAAACCAAATGATTCGATCGAACAGTTATGAAGTTATCAACAAGAAGAAGGGTTCAGAAGATTTTCTAGTGGAGTTCAACAGTGCTGTAGGTTTTCATATGATGGAAGATGGATTTTTTTTATTAATATGGAAATTTAAGGAGAGTCAGCATATTGATATGGTGATTCTTTGCATAGCGAAATTGACAACTGCTTCTAATCTTTGTTTTGGAAAACAACTCTATAAAATTATTAAGATATCGGTCGCTGGTGAGAATCGAACCCATGTCCTCACAAAAGTGGGTTATATATATATATCCAGTCTATTGCCTAACCACTCGCACCACAGATGTGCAGATTTGCCTATGTACGATTCCGCAGTTTCCACTTTACGTTCAGACACCACAAAGCCAAAGAAATTATTTTAAAAAAATTCCAAACATTTAAATATCATTTTATCTTAACCGGTGAATGACCAGAAGGTTGCAGCAAAAATACAATGATTCATCAAATTCATTTCATTAATAAATAGACATTATGCAGCCTCCAATCCCTACATATTAATATTCATCATAATTCAATTTAAAAATCCTCACATGTTGAAAGATAGCATTATGATGTGAGATTTATCCACAAAGGCTGATGCCTGATTGAAATGAATTTTATCTACAATACCGCTGAATGAAGTAAACAGCCTTTTCACGTTCGTCCTAACAAAAGGCTATTTAGCATTGAGATGTAAAGCTTTTATTAAGAAAAATCAGATATGAAAAAGACACAAAAGAAAGCTTTCAGTTAATGACGATGTAAAATAATTATGCGATTTTCATTACATGTACTTCGCGTGTCAGGTTTTACGGCCTTGAATCTTGAGATATATTTAAAAGTTCATCAATGATCGTTTCGCATTTTTTTTATATACCTGAAACAATTAATACTTAAACACTTATTTTTCTGGATATTTGAAATTATTTCATCATGTAATTAATAAAATTGACTCTAAAGATGCCTTTAATTGTTGCCTTTTATAAGGTTCGGCAATGAACATGAACATCAATTAGCTGCATAATTCGACATATTTAAGACAAACATGCCAATGCATCTTCATTCTTCGCATGATCATAATAATGAATTTAAATCATCTCGTTGAAGGCTGAATATGGAAAAAAGAATGAAAAATCAATTTTATCGCTCCCAAATGAATTACCTACGCTGCTCATGGGAGGTTACGGTGATCAAGAGGCATCAACAAGTTGTGAAATATTTATCAATCGATGTGTTAAAGTGCAGTTGCAGCTTAATTTGTTTAAAAAGTATGAGAAAAATTATTAACAGACTTTTAATATTTGAATTTTATTTCTTACACGAGATTTTTCTACCACGTGTTTTTTTACCACTTAAAATTTTAAATCGCAATTATTTCTTCAGTAAGCCTTCCAATTATAAATATTAATATCTAAATCAGCAACTAAGCAAGGCAAAAGCCCAACTAAACTCATTTGCACTTTCCAAAACGTCGATTTAATGATTTATTGAGCATTTTATTAACATAACCAAACCGATTCAAAATAATTACTCTTCTTTGCTTAGTATCCAGTTCATTAAAAACCAAAAGCGAAATGTCTGATAAAGGAGGATGAAAAGGGAGAGAAAAAGTGAATGGAAATGTGATCCAATTGCATAAATTAGCGCCACCACTTTGTAAAAATAAAACCAATCAATCACTGTAATTATTTTATGATCGTCAGACATAACTCAATAATGTAATCATATGTTTTGTGTCCTTTTATCGGTGTTTAATAAAGAACTCATACTTATTATTTTCTTATCAAAATTTCATGTCATTTTATTGAGAACAAAAAGGAATTTTAATTTCGAATTTATAAATTAAATGTTAATTCATTCAATCTGTTAGCATCTTTTGCATCTTTGTTTACCAACCATAATGAGCAATTGGTGATTCGAAGTTAACATGAGCAACTTCAACAGCTGGGCTGTATTGAACCTTTGTAGCAACAACTGGGGCGTGTTGAGCATATACAGCTGGTTGGCTGACGTATGTCTTTTGGATTGGAGCTTGTTGAACGTATGTTGTAGCTGGTTGTTGGTGGACATAAGTTGTTGGTTGTTGGACGTAAGCAGTTGGTTGATGATGAACATATTGGGCTGGTTGTTGATGTACATAAGTTGTTGGTTGTTGAACGTATGTGGTAGCTGGTTGATGGTGGACATAGTGTGCTGGTTGGCTAACAATTGCTGTCTTGGCCAAAACGGCTGGCTGTTGAACATAAGCTGGAGCATATGAAACAGTATTGTAACCATCACTAGTCTTTGTGTTTACGTATTTACGGACTGAAGATGTTGGTGTATCAACTGACTTTGAAATTTGGCTGACTGTTCCATGAGCTGATCTTACGATGTTTTGTTCGGATTGTCCATGTTCGTAGTGGGGTGTGGCAATGACGGTATGGGTTGGTTGATAATGATGGGGATCATATGATGAGTATGTAGCTACAGCTGGTGAAGCAACATAAGCAGCTTTTGGTTCGGTGTAAGAAAGAGTCTTTGTGAATGATGATGAATGAGCTGGTGCTGAGTATGAAGTATATGATGGTTCAGCGATGATTCCAGCGCTGGCAACAGCCAAGACTGAGCACAAAACAACGAACTGAAAGAATAATTGAAAATTAATACACTATATTATTGAATAATTTCTTCACAAATTTTTTAAAGTCATATAACTTTAAAATAATGTTTTTTTTTTTGTGATAAAACAAAAGAAAATTTTTAATTCACCTTAAATGCCATTTTTAAATGAATGTTATATGATGAAGTTCAGACAAATGAATGATACCAATTGAGAAAATTCGAACTTCTTTTATAGGAGCGAAATATCTGAGGCTCCTTTGAATGTATGCCTATGTATACAAATATACAATACTATTGAACAACAATAACTAGCCGCAAAACTAATCCTGTCGTGATGTTAAACTAGTTTACTTTGCATTACTTCTTCTTCTTCTCTTCATCATGTTGGAGGGACCCAAACAACAACGAATAGGTTGTTTGTCTGCAGTTTGTTGTCTATGGTGGGAATTTTTGATGCAAATGTACGTATGTATATGACACGCATTTATCATTGCATGCTGATGATGTTAATGCTTAAAAAATTATTTGTATCATTGTCGCTGTCTAGTCGCTTGTTTATCCACAGAAGAAATCTAATTAAAATCCTCAATAAAATGTGTTAAACATTTTGCCTATAAGATGAATAATTAGTAATCATGCAGTCACGCAAATTTAATCAATTGTTGTGTGTTACCTTTACCTTGTGACACATGCTACATATTCGCGAACTCAATTATTTCGTAATTTATTTGGTTCAATGTTCCAAATTGAAATCGAAATCTGGACATTCCAATAATCATTTTAATAAATGAGTGCAATAATACTTTTTGTGTTGAGGCTGGTTTGGTTGACGCCTATCAACAAGATTTGCGTTTCAAGCCTGAAATCTAAAATATTTGTCATCTCGCGAAATAAGAAGTGATTAATATCATAAAATTTTTGTCAATTATTTTGACATAGTACGATGATGTGTGCATTGAAATAAATTGCGATGCTTATAATTTGAAGGATTTTATGCATGACAAATGATGAAAAGCGGTCTGAAAAATGGATATGTTTGGATGGAGCACGTGATTTTTTTTTTCCATATTCTTGGTGATCACATTTGATGGATAAACCGGGTAAACCTTGAACTTGATGATTAGGATCTTATGAGGAAAAGGTTGGGAAAAGGTCAGTCGTGACGAAGTAAATTGATATGAGACTAAGGTGTCCTTGATAATACGGATATCATGTTCCATTTATGGATGAACTATAGCAATTAAGTTTGAGACTTATTACAAGAAAGTTTAAGAATGCATGCTTTTTTGAATCATAACCTCAATTTACAAATATGACAAATTTGAATTATAAAGAATGGTTCGGATCATTATTGTTTTTAAAATAAAATCAAAAACAAATTTTAAAAGTTTAAATTTTGCAAACAAAAACTTTTTATTAAAATCTCAATCACAACTAGTGTATCGGATAGAAACCCAATGCGGATATATTCACAACGTACCATCAAAAGTCTTATGGATAGACCAAGATTTGTTCAGCATAAGTTTGAAGGGTGGGCGTGAAGTACGGCCGAGACCCATATCGACACAGTTCAAAAGTTATACCTAATTTATGTCATAATTATGTCAGCTACAAAAACACTTAGTTTGATTTTGGTCCAAATCTCGGCCATACTTCACACTTATTTGAACCACATTTTCTCGTAAATGTTAAAAATATTATTAAAAAGTAATTGATCCTGAATTATGTCGCTATTTTGTCAAGTGTTTTCAGATTAAGAATTTGTTTTTTGGTTTCCACAGTGAAGAGTATGAACAAAATTTAGATGATGCAGTCGAAATTTTAGATTTCGATTTTTTTTTAAGCTATGCATTACAAAAAGTAAATTTGGTATGTGATTTATGTCAGAATTATGTCAATTCAAATAAAACATCCAAAAAAATTTTTTGACAAAAGTACACCATAGAAAATCAATTTTCAATTTTGGAGTAGGGGCGACCCTAGTCAAAATCAATTTTGTCACTTTTTTCTTCGAGGGTTTATCCAAATGGATTGAAACTTTGCATAAGCATTCTAATACTCAGGTCACACATTTCTGAATTAATAAAAATCATTTTTTTGGAAAAATTTTAAGTCACTTTGTTTTTATATTTATAAAATTTGGGTCTGACGACATACAGAATACATTTCTTGCTTTAGATATTTAAAACTGTTTGTATAAAAATTAGTATACTCACACAAAGTTTCACTGTAATTGAATAAACCTTCGAAAAAAAAAGTGAAAAACTAGATTTTGACTAGGGTCGCCCCTAGTCCAAAATTGAAAATTGATTTTCGATGGTGTACTTTGGTCAAAAAAATTTTTTGGATGTTTTACTTGTATTTGTTTTAAGCACTAAAATATTTATGCAAAATTTCAATCCATTTGTATAAACCCTCGAAGAAAAAAGTGACAAAATTGATTTTGACTAGGGTCGCCCGTAGTCCAAAATTGAAAATGTATTTCCTACTTGGTTCTTTGCTCAAAAAAATTTTAGGATGTTTTATTTGTATTTGTTTTAAGCATTCAAATATTTATGCAAAGTTTCAATCCATTTGTATAAACCCTCGAAGAAAAAAGTGAAAAAATTGATTTTGACTAGGGTCGCCTCTAGTCCAAAATTGAAAATGTATTTCCTACTTGGTTCTTTGCTCAAAAAATTTTTGAGATGTTTTATTTGTATTTGTTTTAAGCACTAGAATATTTATGCAAAGTTTCAATCCATTTGGATAAACCCTCGAAGAAAAAAGTGACAAAATTGATTTTTACTATGGTTGCCCCTAGTCCAAAATTGAAAATGTATTTCCTACTTGGTTCTTTGCTCAGAAAAATTTTTTAGGATGTTATACTTGTATTTGTTTTAAGCACCAGAATATTTATGCAAAGATTCAATCCATTTGGATAAACCCTCGAAGAAAAAAGTGACAAAATTGATTTTGACTAGAGTCGCCCCTAGTCCAAAATTGAAAATGTATTTCCTACTTGGTTCTCTGCTCAAAAAAATTTTAGGATGTTTTATTTGTATTTTTTTTAAGCACTTGAATATTTATGCAAAGTTTCAATCCATTTGGATAAACCCTCGAAAAAAAAAATGACAAAATTGATTTTGACTAGGGTCGCCCCTAGTCCAAAATTGAAAATGTATTTCCTACTTGGTTCTCTGCTCAAAAAAATTTTAGGATGTTTTATTTGTATTTGTTTTAAGCACTAGAATATTTATGCAAAGTTTCAATCCATTTGGATAAACCCTCGAAAAAAAAAATGACAAAATTGATTTTGACTAGAATCGCCCCTAGTCCAAAATTGAAAATGTATTTCTTACTTGGTTCTCTGCTCAAAAAAATTTTAGGATGTTTTATTTGTATTTGTTTTAAGCACTAGAATATTTATGCAAAGTTTCAATCCATTTGGATAAACCCTCGAAGAAAAAAGTGACAAAATTGATTTTGACTAGGGTCGCCCCTAGTCCAAAATTGAAAATGTATTTCCTACTTGGTTCTTTGCTCAAAAAAATTTTTTTCATCCAAAGTTTAATTTAAAAAAAATCACAGTGAACTTTTAATTTGAAAAATTCGTAAGAAAGGAAAGTTTTTTGCTATTTCTGGAGCAACGACTGTTCCTACTTTGCCCAAAAACTATACAGCTCTTCTATAGAGCAGCACGGATCAAATGTAAAAAACTAGAAGTCTCTACGATGTCTCGTTATTGAGATTTCTTGCTGATTAACTTGCTTGTTTGCTTGTTTGCTTGTTTGCTTGCTTACAGAAAGCATATTTTGCGATTTTCTCAGCAATGCCGCAACCAATTTGAAATCTGTTTTTTGCAAAAGATGTGAAATTCAAGGCAAAAACTTTTCATCTCTGAACATTTTAAGCTATCTTGCTCCATATCCTCACAAAATTCTAAATACTGATTTTTCAATCTGAACAAAACCAATAGATTCACACGTGAAAACGGTGTGAATATAAAAAGATTTACAATATTTTCCTTAAAGCAAATCTATTAGTCATTTAACAACTCAAGGCATCAGAACATTTTGTCATAACTGAATCTACGACATAAATCTTGCTGCTGATTTTAACCATGAAAACAATTATATTCGCAAATGAAAAATGATAAAAATTGATTCAAATAATTTTTTTTCTAGAAACTCCCTGCAAAGAAATGATCATGCAAACAAATAAACACATTTGTCAAGATCTCGAGGTTTGGTTAAGTAACCAAAATTTGCTTACTCAAGGATCAATAAAGACAGCACAAGTAAATACAAGTTCAAATTATTTTCTTTTTAAAATCTCATATTTTATTATTTATTGAGAATTAAAGTTATTTTAATTAAATGTAAGTTCATTCAATCAAATAGCATCATCATTTACCAGGCATAGTGGGAAATTGGTGATTCGTAGCTGAAATGGGCTACTTCAACAGCTGGGCTATAGTGAACCTTTGTAGCAACAACTGGAGCGGATTGAGCATATACAGCTGGTTGACTGACGTATGTCTTTTGGACTGGAGCTTGTTGAATGTATGTTGTAGCTGGTTGTTGGACATATGTAGCTGGTTGGTTGATGTAAGTCTTTTGGATAGCTGGTTGTTGGACATAAGTTGTTGGTTGGCTGATGTATGTCTTTTGGACTGGAGCTTGAACGTATGTAGTAGCTGGTTGGCTTACGTATGTGGTAGCTGGTTGATGGACATAAGTAGCTGGCTGTTGAACATAAGCTGGAGCATATGAGACTGTCTTGTATCCATCATTGGTCTTTGTGTTTACGTATTTACGGACTGAAGATGTTGGTGTATCAACTGACTTTGAAATTTGGCTGACTGTTCCATGAGCTGATCTTACAATGCTTTGTTCTGATTGTCCATGTTCGTAGTGGGGTGTGGCAATGACGGAATGAGTTGGTTGATAATGATGGGGATCATATGATGAGTATGTAGCTACAGCTGGTGAAGCAACATAAGCAGCCTTTGGTTCGGTGTAAGAAAGAGTCTTTGTGAATGATGATGAATGAGCTGGTGCTGAGTATGAAGAATATGATGGTTCAGCGATGATTCCAGCGCTGGCAACAGCCAAGACTGAGCACAAAACAACGAACTGAAAGAATAATAATTTGAAACAATTTGTTGAATTTTGAATTTTTTGAAATTTACCTTGAATGCCATTTTAATTAATTGTTGGATTGAATGTTTAATGATGAAGTTGAGATGAATGAATGATATCGATTGAGTAAATTTCAACTATTTTATAGAAACCACCGAAATACTCAAAAAGTGGCCGCTTCGTTCCAGTTACTACAAATCGCCCAAAAATTACTCCCATACCACATTTCATTCAAGGATTGATGACTCATACTTAAAACACACGCAAATAAATAAACACATTACATTCACTATTAAAGAGAACCACGACAAGTTGCCTCGAGTACACAAACATAAGCAGATATGTTGACTGCAAATTGATTAAAACCCGAAGCTATAAATCTCCAGATTTTCATTATGTCCGGCAAATTGTTGAACATAATAGCGACTTTTTGTTGTGCTGTTTTTTTCGGAAAAGAAATATTGAACTTGAACTTTGTTGTAATGGAAAGGAATATATGCGATCATACACGACATATTTCATTAAGGAACAACCTTTTCATTAAGAACCCACCAACGTCAGAATTAAAATGATAAATATATATTTATTATCGACATCGAGTATCCGAAATGAATTATTGGAAAGATTATGTCGCATCAGGGACGTAGTCAGGAAGTTTTCAAAAAGGGGAGTCGTGGATCTTGGAATTTTGAGATTTTATTTTTTTTTTAAGAAAAAACCTAGTAAATTGAGAAGTGTTACGGGGATCTGGGACACAAACCCAGCTACGCACCTATGCCTTACATGCGTACGAAAAACATCGACAATATTATTAAAAAGATGATGTACTCTTACGTCCATTTAATGATCTTCGGCGATACATTTTAAATTGATCTGTCGTGTACACGAACAATTAAGTGCTTTAAAGTAAGTTAGTGTTCTTGAACTGCAATTTCATGATGCACATTAAAAGTTGTAATAAAAATGATCTGTCAATAGAAAAAATATTGTTATTACGTTGAAAAACAAGACAGCTGCTCACTTAATTTACAATGCTTGTAAAGAAATTAGGATCCGCAAATCAAGGTTGACATCTAGACAGACAGACACTCCTATTATGTGTATAACGATTATCTATCTCTATTTTTTTTTTCGCAAAACAGACAATTCAGAAATTATGAAATGAGTTGAATGTGCTTTCATATTGAAGTCTTGATCATTTATCTCTACACTTACCGGCTCATACATTAATTTTTTTTTTCTCGCATATTTAAAACCTGATTCTTTTGTTTTTTGTCTCTCTTTAATGGATCGTACGTAAACAAAATTGTCTCGTGAGTCGAAAATGATTATACATACATGCTGCCTAAAATTAAGTGATTTTTTTGCGAGTATCAAAAAAATTGGGGCATATAAACCGCACAGCAGTTAACATGCCACACATGAGTCATTGATTCCTTCATTCATAATTCGCTCCATATTAAATTTTATTTTTACTATCCCCATTTTAAATACAATCGCCTCGTGCTTATGTCAATCAGGTGTAAAGAAGAAATAAAGATAAATCCATGTGTGCAATTATTATGAAATTAATAATGATTTGCAAGAAAAATTCCTTTTTATTGCTTTGCTTGTTGCTGTACATTCGCACCTGAATTGAGTGTGAGTTAAAGAAGAGAATAAACAAATAATAATAATAATAATAATAATAATAATAATTGTTATTTGAAGTCGTAAGGTCTCTTTTTCACTGAAAAGTAAATCTTGTACATATTAATTTAGTCCTCTTATGTTGTAATTTTGTATTATTCGATTTTATATTAAGTGGAATTGAACTTATTTTTTTTTTTTTTGCAAATATGAATTACGATTAAAATCAAATGGAATTGGAGGAATTTCAATGGAATTTAGTGAAATGCAGACAATTCAATGTTAACGAAAATTGAAATTTTAGATTGTTTGCTTCATTTTTTCTGCATCACTTGACGCAAAAAACAAATCTTTTGAAAATTAATTGCAAATCAAATTCATAATAAAATTCAATCAAATCAAGCTATTATTGAAGATTCTTCTTAATAGAAACTGAAAGTTAAGCAAGTCATTGAATATAAAATTCGTACGACAAAAGAGATCAAGTCAATGAATTTTTTGGAAATAAAAGAAATGCAAAAAAATATAGCATGCAATTGTATAAATTGGATTGATTTGAGGCTTTGATTGACTTGATTGTCACTTAATATTAAAAAAATCTTTTCTTTTATCTCAATATTTAACCGATCAAGTGTCAATTAACTCAAATAACCTCATTAATCGATTATGAAATTTCGCATCCATTTTTGCACCACAGCTGTCAAAATAATTGAAGGGAAAAGGCTCAAATTTACAAGAATTGTGAAGCAGTAAATTTCTAGTAATTTAAAAAAGAAATGAAATGTTCACGCGTTTTAATATATTTCAAAAAAGATTAAGATTTAGGGGATTATTCACTTGTTACGTCTAGGATTTTATAGCATTTAAAAAAATCATCTTGTTCACACAACTAAGGAGCATATAACTAGGGAGGAGAGCTACATTACGTAACTTAACAAGTACAGCCGCTTAAAAAACATATTTTATAAACAATTGGTTGTTTACTAGCGGACGTCTACTTAATATTTTCTGCACTTTATATTATTATTTAATAAAGTGATCTATAAAATAAATTAAACTTGCTTGCAACTTCAACGATCTACAAGTTGCTCTAAATTTTCTACTTACCTACTCCATCCTTACCATTGCCCTTTCTTTACATTCATTAACTTGTAAATTATTTTTTCAACATTATTCTTTTTTGTTAACTAAAGTTCAAGGAACAGAATTGATTAACTAGTGTCTGTCGTTTACACGATGCGAGGTGATTTATTTAATGAAATACGACTAAGAACATTTCTTGTTATGAAGGAGTTTATTGTGATATAAACTGTAACAGAATGTTGGAAGCAAGGTATGGACAATCTATTCATTATATGTAAATTGAAGCTCTTCAGGGTACTGTAATCTAAGTGAATATTATGGATGATTCAATTTATTGCTATAATGTGGTCATTTCCCGTTGAATTTTATTTTAATGATAATAATTTACCATAGTCTGGGAAAGCATGGGGGCATGCATTTAAAGCATAACATTAAGATTCTTCATGTAAATCAACAATTTTGGCACAAAAGATGATGTGAATATAAAAATCGTAATTTATAATGACGTTATTTATAAACGACCGCCATTAGATGTTCTAGAAAATTCATTTTTTAATATCCATATCAAGCAACTTAATATAGCAGCTCCTCAACGCACCTATTCCTCGGAATTCAACTTTTCTTACCACAATTTTTTATTTATTGATACTTAAATTACTTATAAACTATCAATGCACCACCCGCAAAGCATAACGAATTTTTTACAGACTCTCTCTTATTATTCATCATTTCCAGCTCTCGTCGATGTTGTTTTGACTGAAAACTTCTGCAATTAAGGATTTAACGAGAATTGTATCCAAGATAAATGCACAAGAATTGATCAGAAATTGCCAATGGGATGTTCTTTGGTAGAAAAGGGCATGAGTGAATTCCAGACTCTAGAAATTAATCAAAAGTTTGTTTTCAAGCATGAGAATTTGCTTTACATGCACAACTTTAATTAATATGATATCTTAAACTGTAATTCATGATGGAAACAACACGTGGTATTTTAAGCCTCATTCAGTTCTTCTTGGTGGGTGCGTGAAATCGAGAGTGGAGGGATTAAAATTGCGGTATTAAATTAGTCTTGATTGTGAATTGAAATGAAATGTTTGGTAAATTAGTAAGGGCTATGCTGGGTAAGCGTTCGGACCACATCAATCCAATTATTTCATTAAAGTAAGGACTTTTAAAAATTTAATTAAAATTCAACAATGCAATAAAATAAACTAAACCACATAAAATCATAAACGTAAAGAACCTTCGTACCACATTTTAGCCTTGAAAAAAAAATACTCGCAAATCCCAAAGCATCTGACTAATGCCTCACAACGTGAAAACTGGAGAAAGAAAAAAAAGCGGCAATCTGCATATTTTTCGCTACATTTAATGGATTTATTGTTCACTTTAATTAATAATAGCCGTAGACTATAATGAAGTGCTAATAAGGCCAACCTGTAGATTTAAGTCACAACTTGCGGTGCTTTGAGCATTAATTTTACTTGGTAATTGTCATGCCTTTTGACCTTACATAAATTTTAATGAATTTTTCTTCTTTTTCGGGTGATGCATAATTTTGCGCGAGTGATTATTACTTTCTAAGTTAGGGATTGCAATTCGTTAGCGATGGTTTGTATTAGACCATTGGTTTCGAGTCTAATTAGGGATAGGAAGGAGGTCATATGCAATCTAGTAGAGTTGAGAGATGAAAAGACTCTAGAGAAAACTCATGATCAATTAGATAAAATGTTTCATGCTATATTTATCACAAATTGTGATTCACAAGTGCTGCTGTGTTGATGTCACATTGCTGGCGTTAAAGTAGAAGAGGTGCAGCCAAAGTTTTGGTTGCACGGTGCCAAATCGCACATTGTATATTGTGTCCAAAAATTCTTCAAATGAAAAACAATTAAAATCCGAACCTATTCAGCTGATTCCTTAGTTCTCTCTAGTTCCAAAGATTTTTTTTTTAATTTTTCTCCAACAATTTTTATTTATTTTTTAATTCATATTTCATTTTTATTAAATTTAATGTACACAGACTTCTACTTATTTGTTTACTTAATAATTTAATTTATGCTTTATGAGATTTATGTTTATATTTTGAGTTCCAAATTTGTTTTTCTTCTCCTATCCTTCGTCGTTTTCAAACAAGCTGAGTTTAAGGATATTTCATTGTTTTGTTTGTGTTTAGATATGACTAATTTTGCTTTGTTCTGGTTTCTATTGATTAATGACTTTTGACATTTTTCCTTCGTGGTTTAATGTCAACTAGCTAAAATTGTATGATTCGAGAAATTTGTAGCTAGCTATCACTGAACTAAGGACATAGAATTTTTATATTTATGGCGACATGAATGAATGAAATTTTATTTTGGTGGGCATTCATTGTCTATCATTCAGATACTGTAAAAAATTTGTGATTGAGGTTTTTTGAATCAGGAGGTTTAGAAATAAGCCTGATTGGGTTTTGGTAACTGGATTAATTCTCAAAGTTTGAGGATTGTGCCATTGTATGGAAGTTAAAGTTGCAAAATAGTAAGTAAAGTCCTAGAAGAACTTTTTGAGGTTATGTTTAAAAATTCCTGTTTTCATCAAAAAATCATCTTCAAAAATATTCCAACCTCTCAAAATGTCAATCAACCCCAATCAATTTGAGTGTATTTCATTATTTGCATTGTTTTCAAACTTGTAATAAATATTATATTTTTTAAGTAGATTTTTCATCCATTCCATTGAGTTTTTTCAAAGCCTTAAAATATATTTCAATTTTTATGTATAATGTTATCATTTGTGTATGTCAAATTTGTGATTTATCTTCGTCTTTAATATTATTCCTTCTTCTTAATAATGATACAAAAAAATTCTAATGCAAATCTCAATTTTTTTTTGTTTCTGTTAAATATTTTAATTTTTTTCTATTATAAAACTTGATTAATTTTTTTATAATTATTATCAATTTTTATTACGAACCTTTTAGCATTTTACAAGGGCATGATGACGAGTAGCTTTGAATAATACGACTATTCGTAAGTTACAAGCCACCACACCCCAGGCATATTTGATATTTATGCACAAAAATGCTAAGAGGAGAATTTTTTTCATTTATTAAACTTAATTCATCATTAAAAAATGTAATAATATCAAATTATTTTTCTTCCCTACTAAACCTAGTTTTTATAGTCCAATTTAAAGAGAATTTTCATGTGCAGGGAATGGTGTGAGAATTAAACGAAACGATATGTCATAAATAAATTTCAGACATGAGATAAAATTAATATCGCTCAGAGATTATGTATTATCATTTGTCATACATCAACTACTTAATGTCTTGCTTTTCTTTTTACTTTTATGTTTCTTGCCTTTTTGCATTATACATTTATACTTAATACTGTTTTTTTTGTGTTATTTATTCCCATATAAAACAATTCCGCCACCCAAAAGCTTTACTTAATTTATTATTTTCTTTTTTGAGTGAATTTTCCATCTTAGGGATCAGTGTTGGGATTATTAGGATTGAGGACTCTTCGAATTTGTGCATTAGAAACTTACGCCCTTTGCACTTTTCAACGATTCAATGCTTAGCTCGTTAAAGCTTTGGTCTTCTATTTATCATAGTTCTAATGACTTTATGTGTTGATTGATTATTAATTTTTCATAGAAAATTAATCAATATACGTGTTGGCGTCAGCCATTTTGAAATTCTTATTTTAATCCAAATACTATAATTCCTAAATGTCTAAGTTCATAAGAACTTGATATTCTGTCTCTTGCCAGTCTAAAGATTCAAACTAATTGCTTAATCGATATCTAATTAGGATTTCTCTTGAATTATTTGAATTAATTTTCTCGAAGTGGAACAATCCGCCATTTTTGTTTTTATTTCCAACTTAGTTTGAATACAAAACGACTGTTGGAGATTATCTTGTCCAAAATCTAATCTCAATTCATCACTAAAATGGAAAACTACACGTCCGCCACTCAATAAAACGTTTCGAAAGTGGCTTGTATATCAAATTTCCTATAATTCATCATATGTTTCTTTTGTGTATCAATCCTCGTCCTCTTAGTATGTATATATAATATTCAATGCAACAAAATTTGTAGTAAATATCTTTCAAATGTTTTTTTGATCAGTTGTGGTGTTATTTAATTTTTCTTAGATATTTGATGCTACTCATTTCCTTTAATTCACTTATTAGAATACTTGTTTTTTTTTTCTCTCAATGTTTTAATTATGTATATATTTTTATGTAGTCGAACACACAAACGGTATTAGTTTTTTTTTTGAGAACTTTTTTTTATCAATGTGCAATACTTCAATGAACAACACGTTTTGTTATTTGTTTAATAAGTTGGAGCTTGGAAATTTTGTTGTCCTCCCATTTGTTGTACTCCCATTTGAGGCTGTGAGAATGGTGGTTCCTGATATTGCTCATTATCATTTGCATCAGGATATGATGAATATCCACCTTGATTCATTCCATCACTTTCGTACGTTGACTGGAATGGAATTTCTTGAACACCAGTTTTATATCTTAAGAATGCATAATAAGCAGAAATAGCCCAAGTGAATATTGAGAGGAATGAGAAGAGTATGGCACATGTGACATTGCCTGAACCAACACCATTTGGTGGATCTTCAGATTTACTCCATTGAGAACTAATGTAGCAGAATCCTACAAAATACATGAATGCCCAGAATGCTGAAAATGCCATGTCAATAATGACATAATGCTTTCGAGATTTCGCTGATGACATTTGATCGAAAAGATATTCTCCAGCAATAAATCCCATGGCAGCAAAGAATCCAATTAATCCAATCCACACAGCATAACTACAAACACTTCCATTCTTATTAATTATACAGATGTCCTTGTTGTTTTCATCTTTCATCCAACCGTTACTTGTAATTGATCCAAAGACAACTAATGAGAAAAGCTGAAAGGAGCAAAACATAAAGCATTTATTATTATTATGGGTATGTACTACGCGACAGTATGATTACACAACGTTCAAGCATTCAAGTGACACTTGATGAAAAAATATCGATTTTTCTTCAGCGTGTATATACATCTATATATTATGTATGTGACCAACCCGTGAGTGAGAAGAAATTTCTTATTTAAAAAAATATATATTCTAATGACACTTACCCAACAAATAGCCCGAACAATAACCGGAGGACGTTGTATAAAAGTCAATGCTTAAAAGATTCAAACGAGAAACATTAAGAGATTAAATTTTATTGACAGTGAATCAACATTCAGATTCACTTTTTATTGACTTTTCATTTCATTCAAATCGATTGAGTGAAAAAAAATGAAATTCTTAAGAAAAAGTTCTTACGATCAAATCTCTGTCCTGCCATCGACCCTCCATAGAAATTTCCTTGAATTCCTCCCGTCGCGAAATCCATGATTTAAGAAATTTTAATTCTTTTACTTTAAAATGCACAAAAAACAACCTTTTTTCACTCAGAATATTTTGATGTCGAATGAAAGTTTAAAAACAAAAATGGATTTTTTTTTTCTGTCGTTTCCAACGAATTTTCCATAACATTCGTCTCTCACTTTTCTAATGGAAAATTGCTCTCTACTTTGATTGAGATTCAAGCATGCGCAAATTTTGTTGTTTATATTTTGGCGCGCGTATGAAGAATCTCTTGGAATTTTTGAGATATTCAAATGGGAAAATCTGTGCATCGAAAATCTTTTCATGTGATTTCTGTGTTGATTTAATAGGAAACCGCGTCACTGCGTTGTTGTTGTCGTTAAGTGTAAATATTTTGAAAAATTGGCATCAAAAACAAAAAAGCTTTTTGATTAGATTTTGAGAAATAATCAATTTTGGAGTCATATTTGGATTTATTTTAGTTCAGTGTTGCAAATGTAGATGTCTACACTAGATGAAGAATGTAGATTCTTCAATATTTTTTGTCTAGCTAAGAAACTTTCTTCATAAAGATCGATTCTACATGTAGAAAGAAAAAAACCATCTACATGTAGATTGTGTCTACATGTAGAATCTGTCTACATGTAGATTCGATGTAGATGTCTATAATTCTACATTTTTTCCAGGTCTACATCAGAGAAGAATGTAGAATCGTAGACATCTACATTAAATCTACATGTAGACAGATTCTACATGTAGACACAATCTACATGTAGATGGTTTTTTTCTTTCTACATGTAGAATCGATTTTATGAAGAAATTTCTGTCTCAGAATTTATCTGATCCAGACAAATAGCCAGAATGCAACACTGTTTTAGTTTCAACACAACTCAGTGAACCTTACTAAGTCACAATATTCAAAAAACTCCTGATAAATTGTTACTAAGTGGCATGTTATGAAGATTAATGAAAAAAATGTCAAAAAAATCCAGTTTCAAGATTGACTGAAATTTTTACGCTAGATTTGAGATCAGATTGTTGATATCCAAGAAAACATGAATCTTAATTTTAATTATTAAAGTAAAATTATTTAATCTCCTTAACCTTGGTCTTATCGCTTTATAAACTGGAATAAAAAAATTGTAGTACAACAACCTGAAATATAAGTAAGGTTAAAAATTATTCAACTGACCTAGATATCAGCTGATCATGTAATTCAGTGTCTTACAAACTTTGTATCATGAAATTTTTTGTAAAAAAAGCAATAATTGATTAAATTGCTCAATTTTACTTTTAACACAAATTTATAATAGGCCTTTCAGAATCATAGAATCGGATGTAGAGATTAGAACTCGAAAAATTTTTCGTTACTAAAGTGGTTGTTACGGGTGCGGAACAGATAAATTAGATTTTAATAATTTTTGATCATTTTCGATCAGTTCCGTACCCTTGAGGGTTGTTCATAAATGACATCACATGGGGGGGGGGGGTCAAACAACTCTATAAAAATAGATTTGCTTATAATTTTAATATTTGTTTTTAAAATGACTGATATTTTCAGACGTAATTCATGAACTATCCCTAAACAACTAAAGTTTTAAGCATCCAATATGAGTAAAGTTCAATCCCTTCTTGGATGACTAGATTCAGGAGAATGGATGCGAAGGGTAAGGGTTGACCTCTAAACAATCACTCGAAGGCTAATTTGTTGAGCTACCCAGAGTATCCTAATCTAGTCTTAATTAAATTTTATTTATACCCTATTTTGAGGTACAACGTATTTTATTCCTACTCTAGGGTGCCCAGTTCTACACTTGTTTTTAATTGTACGATACGTCAATGATGTTGTTAAAAAGAGTTTTGGATATGTTTAAAATAATTTGAAAATACAGTTTTGAAGTGCGTCTGGACCACCTCTACCAGCCGATAAATTACTGAAATAAATATTGACAAACAAAAGCACGTGCATTTTAATGAAAAAAAAAACAATTTTTGTCATATACGTGTTACACAGATTTTAGATTTTTATTTTTTATGCTTTCTAGTAATGTTTTTGTTTTTATCATCATCATCATCAGTTTTTTGTATATAAAAAATAACTATTAAGAAAACGGCTTTTTTGTGTGTGTGTGTGAATCTATGTGTTAATTTTTTTTCTTCTTTACATCTTCGGGGTGCGATGAATGCATTAATTATATGGGTTTACTTGAAATATTAATATAACATTTAAAATAATGCATTACATCACACTATATATAAATTTTTCATCAGAGTGGGGCATTAATTTTTTTCATCATTTTAAACTTTTTTTTATCTTTTTCTTTAATTTTAAAATAAACAAATCTCTCCAAGACTCTTTTAGAATGCTTAAAATTAACCATCAGCTGATTATGATGTATGTCAGTTTGAGTTTTTAATCTACTCAATTTTAATACGTCAAGAAATTGTTTTTAAATTAAGCAATAATGAGCATGAAAACTACAGAAATTAATATCATCCTGCTGTGATATTATTTCAAAAAAAATATATTCAACTTTGAATTTTTCGCGAGCTTATGTCATGTGAATGATTGAACAATAAGAGTTTATAAGATTGAACTCTACAGAGTGTCGAGTCAGAAATGTTTATAAAATTCAAAATATTTCGATAGTGTCCTTTGGAATCAAGTCACGAAATATCAAATATATTTGGTCATTGACAGGGGTTGATTGCAATCTCTTCTTCCTTATTCAAACTATTTGTGGCTTTCTCTTTGAATTTGGCATTCGCAAGAGATCTCTAATGTTGATTTGAATGCATTATTTCACACAAATATGCACGTTCAGGCGTGCATGGACATTTGATTTGGTGAAATGAATTTGGGTATTTTTATTGTTAGAGTCAGCTAGTTTTCAAAATAAACACAGCTAAATTCCGAATATTTTTTGTGATTGGATTTTTCTATTTATGCTGCATTTTTTGATAGGAAACTTGAATTTTGGAGCATATCTGATTTTTTTAATCTACGAATTATTTAACTTATTATTAGATCGATCAGCATAAGAGACTGAATTTTATTGTTTTACCACCTAAGAGTTGCAAAATTGAATAAATAGTCGCAATAATGGTGTAGCATTTAACGGGTCATAGCGTAGGACCTAAAAATACAGACAAAATCGGAACTAAGCCATCAAAAATCATGTCATCCTTTAAATATTTAAAAGACGCTTTTGACCATGTGTTACATAGTTCTTGTAACTTGTCAATTATATTATTTCAGATGTAAAAGAATTGCCAATGGTTTCTAAGGATCCAACCTATATCCAAACAAATCTGCCATTTCGAGACCATACTGTGCTGTTAAGTTTAAACATTAGAAACCTTTTGATTCATGAGAATATGTGTTCGATTCCTAAATTCATCCACAACCAGAAACCCTTCATTCCTATTAAAAGCTTTCAATTATTTTAAGAACTCAATTTTTGTATAGATTTATCTATGGTATAAAGAATAAAGTCAAAGTTCATACTCAAATGCCTCCTTACAATTTCCATTATTGATTTCTAGTAGCGATGTTGTGCTTACTCAATTTGTACTTGTCAGAAGTCAAATGAAATTAACCTCAGGTCACATCAGCAATTTGTTTTACTAAATTTCTATTGAAAATGTTTGCAGCTTGCTTAACTTCTTTGTGATATTGAAAACAGGTTTCTGTTTGGAGTCAATTGGCTATGCACATCGAAATAGCAGCAAGATTCGTCAGGTTTAAGGTTTTTATGGATATTAAAGGAAGATAAACCCTTTTAAGGCTTATGTAATGATGCTTTAGTCACACATGCCTCATCAACCGTTCATCACAATCAAAAGATGGTTACAAAAGAAAAGAATTTCACGATACTAAATTTTATATCCTCAATCACATAATTAATTATTCTTTATATCATTAATAAAATATTAAACAGTTATAATTGGCATCACTCGAAAAATTTACTTTCATTCCAGTCGAAATGTGAAATTTAACTTTTCATTCATTTCATCCAACTTATCTTATCATCTTTTCTGTTGAGTATATGCCATTCCATTCTTTTCCTACATCATATTATAATTATTTTTTTTTAACTTTAATTCTTTTCATGTTTTTCTTTTTGTATTTTTTTCAGAGAATTTTTTTAATTTTTTTTTTGTCATTTTTTTCATTCATTTTTGTTGCTACTAAATTTAGACTAATGATTAAATTAGGTAATTAATTATTAATTATTTTTTATGCAAGTGAAATTTGATTTATATCCATTATAATAATAATCATAATAATAAAAAATTTATTTTAAAAAAAAAATCCCGTTCAAAAATTTTAAAAATTTTTGTCCGGGAGTGAATTAAAGAAAGAATTTTAAGCTGGGTTGGGAGCTTTTTTGAATCTAAAGAAGACTTTCTTTGAAAATATGGTTGAAGTGTTTTGCCTTTGGATATTGAATTTTAAGTTCTGGATTTTTAACATTTCGAGATTGTCTAAGAGAATCTACAGGATGTGATGCAATGTTTTCCAGTTCTAGAACTCCGTTGGTCACTATTTCTTCTATTAAAGTTCTCAGAACCTTTAAAATCATCCATATCAAATAAAACTTAATCAAGTCGCATTCCAATTCTTTTCCAAGAATCCGAAAATGATCAAAATGATCAAAAATGTTAAAATTTGATCAAAATCTAATTCATCAATTCCGCACCTTTGTTCTTGCCCTAATCTACCAAACCTTTTCCATCTGCCAAGATTCTGTACCCAAAAAGTAGCACTCAACACAAAACTCTTCATTACCACTTTATCAAAATCTTCATCATGAATTCAAAACAAGATTCCCAACCTTATTAATCAATTTTTAAAATCATTTAAATGTTTTGTTTTATCATTTTGAATTTTTCGACGCACGCATATAAAGCGGAACAGATCGCTGTGGACTCTGAACATTAGTATCGTCCAGGTCAATTGATTTTGCCGGAATATTAAATATATCAATGCCATTTAGGATATTACGATCAACAAAATTACTAGGAGCCGATGCTGATGATGTTGATGGCTGCTGAAATAGTGAGCCCAAAAGTCCTACATTTGGATTTTGCTTTACATCAACTTCCTTCGTTACCAGCAATGTCTCGTATGATGCCTTCTGATTCTGATTTTGGACAGAATTCATGAAAATTGTGTCAATTTCTTCCGATTGAAACATTTTGTTGTTGGTTCCATCATTTCCAAAACCACCTGATGAATTTGGAATCTTTAAAAAGTTGTCATATTTCGATTCGTTTGCCTTTGATGCCTGTAGATCCATTAAATGCAAATAATTTTTCGAGGGATCATCAACACCATTTAATTGCATTGCTTCAATAGCATTTACCGTTTTCATATTACTCATCATATTATTATTATTGGTGTTATTTGCATTTGCCATTTGTGGCACTTGACGCAGCAATTCAACAAATCGTCCAGCTTCTTCAAGTCCATACAATTCCGATAATTTTGTGAACCAATTGTATTGAAATTCTCTCGATTTGCTATACATATCAAAGACTGACATATTAGGCGGCAATAAATGCGAATAGCTTGCATATGAACCTGATAATCCTTTATTGAATGCTTGTTGTGGCGTCTGCTGTTGAATTCCAGATGCATTCTTTTCCGGAAAATGAACATTCTGAAGGAATTGAACTTCCTTGTCCGTTTTCTTTAGATTCTCCAACAAATCAGGATGTAGGATCATATCATTCAATGTCATTTTCGATGTGCTGTTTGTCAACATATTAAAGTCCACATTTCCATGATTTCCATTAAAACTGTTTATATCATTTATTGGATTTTGAGAATATTTTGGAAGATTTGTAGCAGATGCGGCAGTTGGATATGAATTCATATTCATATTATGGATTTGTGGTGTTTGTTGTTGCTGTTGTTGCTGCTGTGGAGGCTGTTGATAATGAGGTGGAAATATTTGATTAGGATGTTGTGGAATTTGAGGCGTAGGCCGAATTTGAGATGGATGTGGTGGTCCAAGAGGGGGTCTTACTTGATGTGGTGATTGTTGCGATAACATTGGAGGTTTCATCTGCCATGGTCCTTGTGCTGCTTTCTCAACGATTCCTCCGACTGTTTGTTGCGGCTGTTGGAACATTGGACTTGCTGATGAATTCCACATATTATTTGTATTCATATGGAAATTAGGCATCATTGATGGTGGACCCATAGTATTCGGTTGATTAAAATTTTGATTATATGTTGGAAATGGAACTGTACTGTTGTATGGTGAGAATTGTGAATTGCTTGGAGGCGGTGGATGCATTGGAAATGATGGACTTCCGAATGGTCTAATCGTTTGATTCATCATATTATTGTTGTTAAATTGTGGAGCCGTAGTAGAAGCACCTACAACAGCAGCAGCTTGAGTTGAAGTCTGTGGTGGTGGGAAATGATTCATCATCATATTATGTTGCTGCGACGGAATATGAGAAGGATGAAAAGATGGATGTGGAGGCATTTGCGATTGTTGTGGATGATGGAAATTCATTGGATGCGATTGAATTTGTGGTGGATGCAACGGCATCATATTTCCAAATTTCCTCGGATTCATCAACATCATCTGATCTCTCAGGTAGCTTTCAGACTGTAATGCTCTCGGTATGAACTCAGGTGCAAGTGGATTGAGTACATACGTCTTTCTCATCTCTAATCCATCAAGTTGAGATTTCAACATTTGCCATGTTATTCCAAATAGACTCTTATTCTGATGACAAGTTTCAATAAATCTCTCCCATACCTTTCGGCATCTACCTACACTACATAAAGCCACAGGATCACCAACAACTGACACGAGTGATTGAGCTCTCGTAATTGCTGTATTTAACAATTTTGAATTTGATAAAAATCCATAATCGATATCCTCTGATTTATTAGAGCATGTCTTGCGAGTTCTTACTGTCGATAGAAAAACAGCACGAAATTGTTTACCTTGAACGTTTAATACTCTCTCAACTGAAATGCCTGCGAGTCGTTTCTTTCTTAATTCCGATCGAATTCTAAAAACTTGATCTGCATATGGTGTCATGATTCCGATACTTTGATCATTAAATTTTCCCCAAGCTGCTGGCCATTTCCGCTTTAATTCACAAACACGATCCACAATTTCATAAACTTCCGAATTGTTATAAAATGCCGTAGAATTTTTATCTTGAACATCCTCACCTCGACTTGTAAAGAAAGTTAATGGATAAAATTTCTCGTGACGAGGTTGTTTACCCGAAGCTATTAATTTCTGATCATAAAATAATTCAGATGTAAACTTTATAATTGCCTCATGAGCACGATAATTTTCACAAAGTAGAATTTTTGTTGGAAAAGTTGTCGGATAGTGTTCATAGAGACGTTCGAGTAATGAAATATGAAGTTTACGTTCGCGAGCGAAATTTGAGAATATTTCGGGTGACATTTGCATATGATCTCCAGCCAATACAATTCTTGTGTTTGTGTCAGCCAATGCAATTGGTGTTATTGCCTCACATTCAAGCGCCTGAGCTGCTTCGTCCAGTAAAATGTGTGTAAAATATCCCTTCTTCAAATTTAATGATGCCAACTCCATTGACGTCGATAAAGTCACGACTACAATTTTATGTGAGTATACATCCTCGACTGTGGGCTTTTTGAAAACTCTCGCATTTCCCTTCATTTCAATTAGACAGTATTTCTGTACGACGGGATTAACAGTTGCTACCCAACGCTTATGATAGTAAATTCTCAGTGGTTTTGCATCCTCTAAGCCGCTCTCAACCCATGGATGCAAGTATTCTCGAATGTATAAATCAGCAGCTGAGTTACTATGCGTACAAATAAGAATTCTCGCCTCACTTTGTGATAATAACTGTTTAATAATCTGTGCTAAAGTGTATGTCTTTCCAGTTCCATAAGGTCTGAAAATATTTAAATAAAAAATTTTTCAATGTCAGACTAAAATAATCAATCAAAACAAAGATATGTGTACATACCCAATTAGCAAGATAGGTGGAAGTGGCTTATTGATCGGTGATGTTATTGTTACAACTGCTTCTTTTTGTTTCGAGTTTAATTTCTGATCCAACGTTGCATCCCATTGTCGTTTTGGATTCCAATGTATATCTGGATCAATGTTTGTGTCAGGAAATAGAATTTTATAATTCGTTATTTTATCAATGGCTAAATGCCATTCACAATACGTCAATCGATTCGGTTGGAATTGGATGTCCGCTTTTATAACATCATCATTCTTTAATCCTATTGTTTTTACAGTGTCTGCCGATAATTTTAAATAAATGACATTTTTACTCTTATCCTCAATCAATGCTTCGTATACTTCTGGCTTTGCATCTGACTTATTTGACGATTGAGAACTAACCGTCTTCGTAAAGAACAGTGAGTTGCAATTGTTTAATATTAAATATCCAGGTGGTGTGTCTTCCGAAATATTTTGTGAAAGTTCCTATAAATTATTAACATTATAAGACTAATACAAATCAAGACAAAAAATTATTCTAGACTTACCAAAACTCCAAAGAGTTCTCCAGAATGGGAATATTTCGCTGTCGATGTCGCCATTCCGTTTGGTGCCAGAATAAAGTTGTTTGTAATTTTCAAATTTGTCGTAAGATTAAATTTCGCAATTAAATCGAATCGAGCCATTTCTTCAATGTAGAGAAGCGTGTGCATCCATTGCTGATAATTATGCTCCGATAATCGACCATTAATTGTACTCTGAGACAGTACAAATGTATCAGCTTGAGGACATGGATATTTGTCTAAAAGCTCCAATTCCTTTTCACTGTCATAAGCTTGCGCTGAGTGATAAATGTTGAATGGTTGTGCAGGCGATTTATAAGGAACTAGATTACTATTAGAAGAATTCCATCTCGTTCTCGTCACAGTTAAAATGTCATTCTTAATTTCTTGAATTTTATCATATTCCTCAAGTGGAACAACATCAATACAAAAATGTCTTACAAGTATAGTGTCTGTTCCAAAGAATTCAAAGCATACGGCTTGACGAAAGGTACCTTAAAAATAGATTCCGTTCGTGAATTATTGATGTCAATTCGTGGCAATAAAAATTATTTTGTAACTCACCATAAATGTCCGTAGAAAAACCTATCTTAACTCTATGTGAAACTACTGTCTCATTATCAGTATCTAAATCTTTTGTTACATCAACATTTAAAGGAAATGTCCATTCTTGATCCGTTGTCATATTCTTATTATTTTCAGCTTGATTACACTGCTTGCTAGGATGCATCGGAAAAACATGTTTAATTGCAAAATGAGTTCGATGCTCATCTTGTAGCAATGCCACAGCTTTCAATAGCTTTGATGTCTTCAGTACGAAAATCCATTCACGTTTACAGGTTTTTGAACTTACAGTAAGGTTTAATTCATTGGAACAGGTTACTTCAATTCCCTCAATTTTCTCCTTCATAATTTTCTCAGGATTTGTCGATTGATGAAGCCGTTCCAGTAGCTCCTCCGTATAACTCTTACCGTATTGTAATTTGATTGAATTTTCATGCTGTGTTTTTCGATAATCAAATCGATCCTTCCACTCCTGTAATTCATCTGGACTGTGGGCATGGACACAGTTTAAGCCGAAATTACAGATGCCACTGTCGATAAAGTTTTGACATAATACGTATGTTTCCGATGTAAAGCCTCTAGGTGGAGGCCGAAATTTCCAACATCGATCTGAAATTAGAATTAAGAGATTACAAAAGTATTAGTTTCAGTCATTGATGTTTTCTGCGTATTTCATAATTTAAATGTACCTTCGTCTGATGAATTGCTCTTCTCCTGAGAATTTTTTGCATTTTTATCAACAGATTCATTGGAAACTTTTGTTGTGTTGGTATTGTTTGAATCCATTGTTGACTTATCATTCGTAAATGCTTTAGTTTGAATATTTCTGGATTTTTGATTTTTCTGATGATTAAAGTTCTTATTGTTGAAGTTATTTTCGTTTGTAGATGATTTGTTCTTCTTACTTGCATCGCTATTGTTTAAATTCGACGCCATTTACTACAGAAATCATTAGATTCTATAGTAATTTTGTTTAATTTGTTGAACTGAAGAACAGATTGCAAACCAAAATTTTTTTTTGCGAATTTATGAGAAATTTTTATATTTTTCGAAATCTTCATTTAGGCTTCATATAACTAGCTTTGTGATTGTTTTATCAATTTTTCTCATGTTCTCCTGTAAAATGTTTTATTGGTTTATACCACACTAAATTACATTACATTTTAAAAATTTTCTTTTCACGAAAAATATTTTGGTTCTGTTCAGAAACTTTAGTATTTACGACGACGTTCAACAGTTCAACAATTTTCAGAAGTTTTTGAATCAAAATAAGTAATTTCTGAACTTACTCAATTTTGAAAAAAAAACTTTGAATTATTGCAAAATTTTAATTTTTATAAAAAAAAAACTTCCTTTTTAATAAGTTTAAGATTCAAAATTTATCGAAAATGGCACAAACGACAGGTGTTTTACCGTTTGTAAGAACAATTGACTTCTCGCGCAATGATTTTAGCGTAAGTTTTGATGAAAATTGTTTTAGAAACTTTAAAAAAATGAAATTTCCCTTTATAGAATGATCTCCCTCAAAACTTAAAACTTTTATCTGGCCTACAACATTTAAAACTCGACAAAACAAACTTAAATGAAATTCCCGATGAACTGGGCAAATTGACAAAATTAGAAAACATTTCTATGAAAAATAATCAACTACAAAACTTATATGGAGAAATTTCTACACTTAATAATCTGAGGTCATTGAATATTCGCAATAATAACATTAAAACATCTGGCGTACCAAATGAACTATTTAATCTTTTTGAATTAACTACATTGGATTTATCACATAACAAGTTGAAGGAAATACCAGAAGGATTAGATAAAGCCAAAGGACTTTTGGTTCTCAACTTGAGTCATAATCTGTAAGTGTCAATCTTGTTTTCTACGGTTTCTTGGATTAAGAGTATTACTGAATGCATTAGGGGTATATTTAAATGACGTCTTTTTTAAAATACTACATATAAGCTCCTTTAATCCCCAGCTACAGAAACTTAAATGTATACTCAAACTTCTAAATCTTTACTTACCCTTAAAGTTACTGAAGTTTAAAAGGAGGATCAGATCCAACAGGTTGCTTGATCTAAATCAGAAACTTGGTCACATGTTACTTTATTAAGCTTTATAAATTAGCGTGGCCCTATCACTTACATATAATAGTTGACAAACTGATTTCATTTCAGGCTCTGTGTCATACCCAATGGACTCTTTGTGAATTTAACAGACCTCCTCTTCCTCGACTTATCGAATAACTTTTTGGAAACTTTGCCGCCACAAACACGAAGACTTACAAATTTACAGACACTTATCCTTAACAACAATCCATTAGAGCTCTTTCAATTGAGACAGCTGCCATCACTTCAGAATCTTGAAGTCCTCCAAATGAGAAATACACAACGAAACTTGTTAAATTTTCCCACATCCTTAGACAATTTAAATAATCTAGTCGAACTAGACATTTCCGAAAATAATTTACCTAAAATTCCTGAAGTTGTCTTTAATCTTATTAATTTGAAACGATTAAATGTGAGTGAAAATGAGATAAAGGAAATTTCGCCAAAAATTGAGGCATTGCAAAAGTTAGAAACATTGAATTTGTCACGTAATGAATTAACCACGCTTCCAAATACTTTATGTAAACTCTCGAAATTGAGGAAACTTTATATTAATGAGAATAGTTTGAATTTTGATGGAATTCCAAGTGGTATTGGAAAGTTGGGCTCCTTGGAAATTTTCTCAGCAGCTTGTAAGTTATTCTGATTGGAATCTTAATTGATAAGTTGCTGAAATTTAATTTTCTTTCCAGGCAATCAGCTAGAAATGGTTCCTGAATCATTATTCCGTTGTGGCAGTTTAAAGAAATTGAATTTAAGTTTCAATCAGCTAATCACACTTCCAGACACAATTTATTTATTAGGTGATATGGATATGCTGAATTTAAGAAATAATCCAGATTTAATTATGCCAGCTAAGCCAATTGAAATGCAAAAAGGCGATGGCGTTGAATTTTACAATATTGACTTCTCTCTACAAAATCAGCTTAGACTTGCTGGTGCACAAATACCTCCATCAGTCGCATCATCATCTACGCCAAATCCAAAAGATGCAATTGCAAGAAAAATGCGTCTAAGACGATCTCGAGCTAATGGCGATCAAGATTCAGCTAAAATTCTGAAAGGTATGAAGGACATAGCTGAAGAAAAAAACAATAATGAGAATGGAGATAATGCAATGGTTCAAAGTCTTCAACCAAAACGATGGGAAGAGACACTTGAGAAGCCACCTTTGGATTATTCAGAATTTTTTGAGAATGAAGACGGGAATGGTGAAGGATTGACTATTTGGGAAATTGAAAATTTCCTGCCGAACAAAATCGATGAAGTTACACACGGAAAGTTCTATGAAGGTGATTGCTATATTGTTTTAAAGACATTTGTACAAGAAAGTCAGCTCTCTTGGGAGATTTATTTCTGGATTGGATCAAATACATCACTCGATAAAAAGGCATGTGCTGCAATTCATGCAGTCAATTTAAGAAACTATCTCGGAGCACGTTGTCGAACGATTCGAGAGGAACAAGGTGATGAATCAGATGAATTTTTAGCATTATTTGACAATGATATAGTGTACATCGAAGGTGAACACACTGGAACTGGTTTCTTTAGCATCGAAAGTTCAACCTTTAATACACGATTATATGTCATTCATAATGACGAAACAACACTACATCTTGAACCAGTAACAATTGATTACTCATCATTGGATATTCATAATGTCTATCTTCTTGATTCTGGTCTTAAATTGTTTTTATGGTTTGGCAAGAAGGCAAAAAATACCGTAAAATCTAAAGCAAGATTAATGACAGAGAAAATTAATAAGAATGAGAGGAAAAACAAAGCTGAGATAATGATGGAAACGCAAGGTCAAGAAGGTGCAGATTTTCTTAAGCTTCTAAACGTTACAGATCCAGATGAGAAACCAGAACTTAAAACGGTTCCAAATGAGTGGATCCGAGATAATCCACGATTATATATAATTCAATTGGGATTGGGGTACTTGGAGATGCCTCAAGTCACATTACCGCAACAGAAATTAGTACATACACTATTGAATAGTAAGAACGTATATTTATTGGACTGTGGAACGGACTTGTTTGTGTGGTTTGGTAAGAAATCTACTCGATTAGTACGTGCAGCGGCTGTTAAATTGAGTACAGAACTATTTAATATGATTAAACGTCCACCATTCTCAACGATAACGAGAGTTCAAGAAGGAACCGAAACACAAATCTTTAAATCTAAATTTGTTGGATGGGATGAAGTTATTGCTGTCGATTTTACAAGAACAGCACAAAGTGTTCAACGCACAGGAGCTGATTTAGCTAAATGGGCTCAAAAACAAGAAACAAAAGCAGATCTTGCAGCATTATTTATGCCAAGACAGCCTTCGATGACAGCTCTTGAAGCTCAGCAATTAGCTGAAGATTGGAACTACGATTTAGATGCAATGGAAAATTTTGTTCTCGAAGGCAAGAAATTTATTCGACTACCAGAAGAGGAACTGGGAATATTTCATTCTGCAGAATGTTACGTTTTTCTTTGTCGTTACTGCATACCTGTTGATGATGATGAAGTTGATGGCGCAGAGAATGTCCAAGAAAATGCTCATATTCCTGAAGACGAAATTCAATGTGTTGTTTACTTCTGGCAAGGACGTGATGCTGGAAACATGGGATGGCTCACGTTTACATTTACATTACAGAAGAAGTTTAAGGCAATGTTTGGTGAAACATTGGAAGTCGTCCGTATCCATCAGCAACAAGAGAATTTGAAATTCATGAGTCATTTTAAAGGAAAATTCATCATAAAATCAGGAAAACGATTAGACAAGAAGAAAAATAAGGAAACAAAACTTCCAGTAGAATTTTATCATCTCCGTCAGAATGGAAGCTCTCTTTGCACAAGACTCATTCAAGTCAGACCAGATGCAACATTGCTTAATTCAGCATTCTGTTACATCTTGATTGTACCCTTTGAAACAGCAGATGATTCTGAATCTGGAATTATCTATGTATGGATCGGCTCCAAGACAACAGCTGAGGAAGCAAAATTGATCCAAGAAATTGCTGAGACTAAGTTTAATAATCCATGGTACAGTTATCAAGTGATTAATGAAGGAGAAGAGCCTCAGAACTTCTTCTGGATTGGATTAAATGGACAGAAACCACATGACACTGATGCTGAATTTATGAACTATACTCGTCTATTTAGATGTTCTAATGAAAAAGGATATTTCACAGTGGCTGAAAAATGTAAGTATTATTGATCTTATTGGCTTAAAAATCCTAAGATTCAAAATTCATAACTCTTATTTTTCAAAATCCAGGTTCCGATTTTTGCCAAGACGATTTGGCAGACGATGACATTATGTTGCTAGACAATGGAGAACAAATTTTCTTATGGCTGGGATCACGCTGCAGTGAAGTGGAAATTAAACTTGCATACAAATCAGCACAGGTGAGAATTAAAACTTCATTTATGCATCCGCAAATTATTAAAGTAAACATATCAACTTTTCCAATTTACAGGTCTACATTCAGCACATGAGAATAAAGCAGCCCGAGCGTACCCGAAAACTCTTCCTTACCCTTAAAAATAAAGAATCCCGTCGATTCACAAAGTGCTTTCACGGCTGGTCAAATCATATCCAACACATGTAATTTTAATTATATTAATTTATTAATTTAATATTTATTTACACACTATTAGCTTGTCACTTCTTCTTTTTTCAATTTTTTTGTATTCAATTGCGATAACAATAAAAATAATCAAAACATTAACATATTTAAATCGTAAGGATAAAAGTTTCGAACATTCTAAAATGTTAAGTATTTTTTTCAGCTTAGCTATGACTAAGCACTAAGCCAAGATTCATCACGATTCCTTCGTTTATAAGATTAAGTCATTGATAGTTTAAAAATGCAGAGAATAGTTTTTTAAAAACATAAATTTGATTAATGGCAGAAAGAATTTCTAGTAATTTTGAAGAGTTTTAGTCGTCGTCTTCATCCTCTGGCACAAATAAGTCATTCTCCTCAAGAAAACTAAAAATATACAGACACATAGAGAAATGTTGTTATGATTCAGATCTTCTTATTATATTTCATACCTGGCTATGTTCTTAGAAATAATTGCACCTAATAATATTCCAGGAATCATTGTGCAAAATACTCCTAATATTCCGAAAGCATTAACTGGTGGCATTGCCTAAAAATAGGATTAGAAAAATTTTAATTTTCACATTTTTCTATCCTAAGCACGAAAATTCTCGATCAGATATTTATGTCACCTTCAATGCTCCGGACTTGTAATAAACTCCCATGTTTCTATTTTGCTGCGATAGCAATCGTTGGTAACGAAATAATCTAGCAACTTTTGGTATCATCTTGGATAATTGGAAGAAAAATTGAATTGAAATTTTCTTATTGATCAATTACAATTTTTTTGCAGAATCTCTTTTTCGGGGCGGTTCTTTTGATTTCCTGTAGATGTCGCTAGTTCATGTTAAGGTTTTAAAATTTTTAAAGCCATGCTGCATTCGTTAAAATTAATTTCCTCAATGTTTTTACTGTCTATACTGTAAAATAGTCTGAAAGAATATTTTGCAAATTTTTTTGAATGCATGAATTTTCAGGTACGAAATTACGTCTGATTTCGTAAGAGTCTCGTCTAATCGAGTTAGACATATTACGCAGATAATCATTAACTGTGACGTTAATGAAGTTTAAGTTTATCTTTAATTAACATCAGATCGTCATCATTAATATTCAGTTGTTATTCACTTCCAATATTATTTCTGGCAATCATGAAGTGTTAAGAATATTTCACAGGATGAACAGACGAGACAGATTGCAAATAAAACAGATTCTTATGAACTTGATGATTCTAGAAATTCACAATTGACTTAAATTTCAGCAAGCAAAAAGTATTAAAATATTTCAGCCACAAATCATTAAAAATTCATACCATTAGTATACAGTCATCTCAAATCAAGGACAGAAACTATTTGAGAAGCTTCTCTTTGAAGGCTAGAGACAGAAATGTCGTAAAAGGAGTGGTCTGGGAATCACACATCTAGCAACAATTAATATCAAGTAACCACTAGAATCTATACATCATTATCTTCATTCTAAAACCTTTAATTTTGCGACCATGGAATTCTTCTAGAGCAGGAAAAACCGCAGTTTTATGAAAAACAATAAAAACACTTTCTAACCCCATACATAAATTTTCAAAAAAAATATATATTTCTGCTGGTAGTGACAGCGACTTGTTTATTTAAGAGAAATATAACTCATTTTTTAATGAATTTTATTATTTGAAAGTCCATTAAGCCATCTGTAGATGATCCAAGGAGAATTTTTTTTAACAAAAACTTTTAAATTGATGCAAAAAATTTCCTGATTTCTTTTAGAATTTCAATAGATGTTTCATGGACTTGCAATTTTCAATACCTGTGGGAATATTCATAAATGATGTTTGAGACGGTTTCACTTACTTTATAGCTATAAATGATTCTATAGAATGTTATGCATTTCCCCATCCCCCTCCCCCCCCCCCCCCCTTACCTATGTTTAATAACCCTCAAAACTTTACAGTAATCTGACCACAGATTAAACAGATTCAAGAACTCACCGCTTTCCTCTAGATTAATTTAAATTGTTTTCATTATATCCCCTCATAAAAAAAGTCATCCTTATAATTTCCAGTCCAAAAACATTTTAATTCTCAATCATACCTACTTATCATGTCTACAAGGTTCCAACATCTTTTACTTCAAACACAAAAAAAAACACTTCAAATGACTAAACCGAAAAAATATACTTTTATGTGTATTTGTCACAAACACCTCCACTTAGCGACCGACCGTGAAAATAACAGAAAGGCACAAAAATGTGTCATGCACACGATTTAATTAATACAATAGGAAAGTCGTGAGATGTGCACGAGTAAGATTTTTTTAAAATTTTGCTAAAGTCTTGTGTAATGTTGACGACCGGTGGAAGTTATCTGAAAATTTGTTTATTTTCCACTGGAACTAAATACTATGAAAAGTTTGTTTTCTATGACAAAATAGATTTGCAGCTATGAATTTACTTCTGAGTGTCATTTTCAAAAAGGGTCGAATGTTAAAATTCCCAAATAAATAAATCGATATAATTTGGGAACTAGAACAAATCTCATATAGCACTTCTAAAATTCAAAAATTGAATACCGAGGGGAAATCCAAGGGGAATTTCCGGCTCGAATTTTGTTCAAACATTTTACAAAAAACAACACAAAATGTGAATCATAATTTTTTGTTAGAATCTATTGACAATTTTCAACAACAAGTTTCTTTTGTTCATATCATATCTGAATGAATTGTTGTTTTATGAAAATTTCCCAATTTAAAGAAAATATTTGTCACTGCAGATTAAATAGATTTTGTGATATTTACTTTTTTGAGATTTTAAATAAATTAAACTTATTAAATCTTTTGACTTTAAATTTTGGTGGTTTTTGAAAGTGAAATTCAGAGCAACAATAAAGTCAAAATGACCTTATCAAGCATTTGATGCTTAAAACATGGTTTTACGATTATTCTGATAACCTGAAAACATTTACCCTTTTAAATTTCTTCTCAGGTTACAATAACAACATTTGAGTGGCATATTCAATGTTCATATAATCTAATACATTTATTGATATGACGTATCCAAGTATTATTCAATTGCCCATGCACTAAATTAAAGTAAATATATTACATTACCGCTTTATCAGTTTTTTTTTTTTTACAAAAACAAGATGCAGAAAATTTCTAGTTGATTTCATACTTTTTTGCAATCATCAGGGGCGTGAAACTGATCGACTGAATTTGTATAATTTTTATCAACAACTTTATAATTATTCTCACAAGTTTTGATCATTTTTACAACCTTGGCATTTGATGAGAATAAATGTTGCATCTTTTGTAGATTTTGATTTATTTTTTATTTAAAAAGTTTTGGAAATTATATTAAATTTCCTAAGCAATTACAAAATCTGATGATATTGAACCTCAAGTAAAGCAATAAACTTACAAAACTTGATAATCACAACAATTCCTTTGTCTAGATTTTATTTCATCATCAAATTGAAATCATTTTAGCTTCAACTCTTATAATTAATTCAAGAAACGTTCCTAGTAGTGAATCAGATGCATTTTAGTGTGAATCATGACATATGAGAGATGATGGGAAGAATGTTGAATGAATTAATGCTAGAACCTTTTAGAATAAAGCTACAACAATTGCTTTAAAAAATCCTTATTCGGAATAAAAACATCAAAGCAGAATGAGAGACAATTTCAATGTAAAAATTCAGGTATATCATCAAGAGCAACCATTAACTGCATTATTTAGTGAAATCGGCCCTTTAATACAAACAAGTTTATTTCCAATGCCACATAAATACACACGAGTATCCAAATCCTTTGTGCAAACTGAAACCTGCAAAACATTTATTCGCATTTAATTTAATCAAAAAGAATTACAAATGAGAATAGTAGCACACTCCAACAAGCTTTGTTCCGTATACCATTGTGAAAGCTCTTCATCAAAACAACCGCGATTAATGTTTTTTAGCTGTAATAACAAGATAGCCAATTATAGTGAGATAAAAAAAAGTTTAAACAAATATTTTTAAATCTTTTTCAAGTTTTTCGTTTTTATTATTACATCATCTGAAGCTTTTTTTTTATTTATTTTGTAATGCGAATATATAAGTATTTGTCCTATAAAATAGAATGCAAAATTTATCGCTTTTTTCCTTAAATTTTATATTTTCATTTGAAAGCTGTTTACCAAAATGAGCTTAAGTCGAACAAAAAAAAATTGGTTAATTAATTTTTTTTCTTTGCTTCTTTCGTATTATTAATTTCTACAAGTCAATATAATTTTTTTTTATTTTCATTTCTACATAATACAGTGTTTTTTTTTTTGATAATAAATCAACACATAATTGATTGAGATAAAGAAAAATGTATAACAAGATAAGACTGCTTTTTCTTATCTACATCATATTATGAATCGATATAAAAAAAATTCATTAATTTAATAAAAGAATAAAAAATTCAACTAATGATTTTAAAAATAAAAGTAATAGGAGGATCGGAAATTGTAGATTTCTGGATTTAGATTTGAATTTTTATTTATTTTGAGGAGTTTTAGTTGTTTTTAAAGTAATTTGTCTTTGATATTTAAACTAAGTTTAAAGCAAAGTTATGTTTTGATCAACTAAACAAAACGATAAAACTTCTTGAAGTATGAATTCGAATCTCCAATTATCAATTTAAATTATTTAATCCGTTTTCAAAATTAGCAATACTTTTTTATAAAAATTATTCAAAACTTTTTCTTTTTTTAACTCATAATAAAAATCCAAGCTATAATTTATGAAGGTTCATTAAGTTTTTTTCTTTAAATTTATTAAATCACTGCCAAACCAATAAAGTATTCAACTTTTTAACAGGCTTATCCATAAGAAAAATCTTAATAAATTTCATTAAATAAAGAAATACTCTTCAATCTGGAAGATTTATCTTCATGGAACCGGTTTGTCATATAATCTGCAACGGTTGAAAACTTGTTGCAATCTGTGATTTAAGATGTACAAAACTTTATGAAATCTTTACTGTTAATGTTAGGATTTTGTCATATTGAAGCTTAAAAGTTTATATGAAATTTTAGGAAATAAGAATATTCAATGTTTTGAAAGGTTCGAATCCTATAGAGTAAGCAGATTTGGATTGATCAAATTCTAATTCTTTTAAAACTTTAACTCCAAAATTTTCAAAAATCAAAACTCAATGTAAATAAATGTTTAATAAACCTACATTTTATTTTATTTCCGAGAATTTTCTTCTTAAAATGATTTTCATCTATAAATGAGATCTACGAATCATTATTATCATAATATAAAATAAACAAAATTAAAATTGATTTATAATTTTTGTTTTGTTCTCCAAATTGAATTTAAATTTTCGATATTTCCATATTTTAAAAATAAAACGTGAATTCAAATCTAAGTTCAGAAGTCTAGGAAAATTTACGTATCATATCAATAAAATTTAATACAATAACATGTGATTAGAAAGATATGAGAAAAAAATGAAAATGAAACATTTTTAAAAAGAAAAAAAAAAGAAATTATCCCCAAACGTTTACATTCTCTTATCTTGCACGTGACATACTGACGCATTTTCTTAGTAGAAATTCTTTTACTCCTTTTTTTCCTTTTTTTTTTCTTTATTATCACAGAGTTATCATTCGTGTGTGTTTTTATTATGTTTTTTTTTACTAAATAGTGTCGAGATGAAAACTTTTCCGCTCTCAATTTTTCGTCTCTGACACTCACATTCATTGAAAGTGTTACATAAAAAATCATTTAAAAGAGTAGTTAAAGAAAGAGTTTTAAAAAAGTAAAGTAATAATACACGTAGTAGAAGCCGTACACATTATTTAATTTCATTTCCTACATAGAGCATAGTGTATAATATGCATTATTTTTTTTTTGTTGCTATTGTACATATAAAGGTATGCTTCAGAGTTGTTATCTTTTGTTGTGTCTGTGGTTCGTTTTTTTTTGGTTTTATTTTGTGCACCTAAATAGCTCAGGCTGCTAATAAGCAGCCTTGCTTCATTTTTTTCAACTACCAACTGACACTTGATTGACTGTCATGGAACATTTATTCTGATAAATCTAGTGACATTACAACAGGTGCCCTAATTTTCTTTTTCTGTACAAAAACATGATCTTTTTTTCAGTTGAGTCATGAATGTTTTTCTACACATTTCAACATGACTAATTTGAGATCACAATGATTTTGCAAAACATGAAATGAGAATCAGACTAGGAAGTTTCATGATGTACTCAAGGTTTATTAAGTTTTGAGAGTTGTAAGTTGATTATTTTGTATGTTTTAAGTCACAATTTTAATATTCCAAGGACGTTGGATAATTTTAAATGTCTAATGAAGGTTTACTGGCATATATTACTGGACTAATTTCTAGTTTTAAGGTTGTAAATGGATGAGTAGTTTTCATGTTTTGCTTTTAATCTCAAGAAAATTTTAAGGTAGCAATCTGTCAAACTTTCAAGTACCCCTCGATAGCTTAATAAGAAAAATCATGCAACTTTAAACTGTAAGAGCAGGAGGTTCGATTCCTACTGTTCAATTTTCAAATATTTTAACAAATAGATCCTTAAGTATTAAAAAGAAGTTCAAACGATGTCTCTTAGGTTGCTAAACTACATCTAGGCCCCTTGTTCAGCCTGCCTAGGTACTATCTTGAGATAAAGTTTCATTTTTGATCGAAAAATTAAATGCAAAAATGCCAAACTTCTTTTGCATTTCCAAAAAAATCAGGACTCAGTCAAAAATCAATATAATCGTATTTATGAACATGCCCAAACATTTAAATCTGAAAAACATTGTATAAAAAATGAACAAGGTACAATGGGGAGGCTCAACCTCAAAATTGTTCCATAATTGGGATTTTATCGTCAATAATATTGGCATGTTTCCACAAATGAAAATTACTAAGCCCTAAAGCTATCGAAACTGATACATTTCTGAGAATATTCTCACTTTATCAGCAGTAATAATTTTTTTATCTCCCATGAACTTGTTACAACAAGTAATCCCATAATAAATTAGTCACTGTAATTCCTAAAAATGTGTAGAAATCATTAAAACTCTCAGTTTGACCACTTCTTTATCAGATATGACAGAGTCACACATAAATTTATTTGTTTAATTTTTTTTTCAGTCTTTATTTTATCCTCAAACCCCAAAAAATCTATCAAGCTTCCTGGTCGGAACCACAAAAGCCACATATCGGTTCGATAACAACTCTGGTATACGTTACAGATAAAACAATTTATTTATGTATACAAATATACTTCTTTTCTTCAAAGTTTTTCCACTATTTTACAGAGAAAAAAATGCCTTTCACTTAAATGTTTCGCATTTTTAGTTAATTTATATTTTTTTTCGTAACTTTTCTTCTTGTGTTCATGGAATAACAATTTATAATTGTTGTGTTTTTTTACATTTTTTTTTCTTTGAGACATCCATACACACATTTCTTTCATCGTCTTTTTTTAAAAAAAAGATAGAGTGAGAGATATATATGTATATTTATATATAGAAAGAGATATAGCAGTGTGGCATACTTTGGTACTAACAAATAAAATATTGTGTGTGGCTTACAATCAACTTTCAAAAAACTCTAAATGTTATATAAAAAAAAGAATCAAATACTAGTTAGAGTTAGAGCCATGATAACTTTTATTTTTTTTTTGTTCCATCTCTCTTATTGTTTTCATGTTTCTAGCGATTTGACGACGAGCGATTGGAAGATTCCGTTGGATGAATCAAGAGCTGCTGCTTTGCCACATTGAAAACTATTAAGTAAATTATTGTTGTTGTTGCAATGCATGCTTAAGTCGTTTTGACCTTCAGATATATCGTGAAACGCGTCTGACTTGAGACGTTTTTCTAACTGATGGTATGACAATAGTGCCTGCTCTACTTCTGCCTTTCGCTTTCTTGATAGTGCTTGCTCAATCTCTTCGGAGTTTTTTAGTATTGGATCATGAATTGGACTGTCTATTGAACATAATTCCTCTAAATTATCTAAATCCAATTTCCTCTCCATATCTGTCTTTGGTGAATTTTGGTTTTTCTGTTGTGATTCTCTATTGGACGGATAGGGAAGAAAAGAGAAAATAAAAAAAATTTGATTAATTATTTAAACGATTTTCATTTATTTTTTTTTTTATTATTCGCGTGTTATGAATTAATGAACATTGCACTTATGCATTCTCAACACGAGAGTTAGCTACGGCAATGAGATAGCTGTAAAGTAGTTATATACAAAAGGGAGAGTCTCATACAAACGAACCACGCCGCACATGTAGCAGAACAAAAAAACATTTAATTCGTTTAGTATTTAGTGTCATAATAGGTAGTAGACTAAAATATATAATACACTTGTAAAATGACCTCAATTTAGTCTTTTTTTTTGTTTTGCTTCTTTATATTATTATAAAATACATTGTTATACTTATATACTTTATATAGGCGAATATAGTGAAATAAGGCAAGTATATAACCCAACAACAGGTTGATGATTAAAGTGCATTTAGATAAAGATCTAAAAATCAATTTTTCATACTCAAATATTGCGTTTGTTTGTTTTCTATCGTTTTTCGTAGACTTCAAATATGGAACGAATTTAATATTCTGAAGGTTTTAATGACTTGTTACTGATTTTTGCTATGTATTAGATAGAGAATCAATGATAATCTGCTAGCTTTAGCAAGTTTTAAGCAACATATTTAAAAAATAAATTTCGAAGTGAGGAAAATTTTGAGTGTGTTCAGTAAATTCCAAAAATCGTAACACTCCTTGTAGAATCATCATCTTATTACTCAAAAAATCTCAACAGAGCTAAATGTCTACTCACTAGCAATAATAAATTATTTAAAGCGACGCCTGTCTAGCCAACTCGTAAGTCAAAATGAATTCCAAACGATTACGTTCTCCATGCAAATTTTGCAATCAAAAAAAAATCTCTTATTTGTATAGCAACATCTACTTAGTGAAACACCCAAAAAATAAACTTTTCATTTAGTTATTTTTTGAATTTGGAAGCTTGTTATGGTTCAAGGAAACTGGAAATCAATTGAAGGTGACAAGACTCTACAGAGAAAATTATGTGTAGCCAAAAAATATCAGCTTTTAAACTTTCCGCAATGTATTTTGTTCATTTAGCTTATTTTATTTTTTTCGTGGATGGAAGTATATGGAGAAGAATAAATTATGAAAATGTTCAAGCATACAGCACACACGAACGAATGAAAAAAAAAAAGGTCGTTCTCTTTTTACTGTTGCTTGCATTTTTCAGCACTCTTCTCTCTCACTCCCGCTTCGGGTTAATAGTCTCTCTCTCGTGCCAAATTCTCTCTCACTCAATGATATTATATAGACTGTGTATTGTGTAGAAGATTTGATTTTATACACATCGCATTACATTGCTTACTTCCCGAAAATGAAAGAGAAGAGACAAATCGCTTTTTAAATGATACTATGGGATATGAAAGGGTGCACATGAAGGAAGAATAAGAAGACTTCTTTTTTACAGATTCACAATATGTGTATTGTAGAATGTACAGAAGGAAGAAGAGAGCAAAAAAATGATGAAAATAGAAAGCAACAACAACAACATTATGAAGCGATAACCACTAAAGATATTAATTTATCGATATATTGAATATGAAGTGATGGCCTTTAGTTTAGAGTTTATCGAAATGGTATGAAAAAAAAGGGAGGAAGAAGAAGAAGGAGGAAAAAAAGTACAATAATAATAAAATAAATTGAAATAAAAACACAGCAGAGAAGAGACGAGAATGAGAGAAGTGTATGTATACATTTTTTTTGCGCAATATAATATGTATTCCACTGCAATACCAGCATTTTATGGCTAGATAGACAAAGTAATCTATTAGTTCTCATGTACATACACCAAACTCATTCACTGTTTTGAGAACTAAATTCACAGTTTTGTTTTCTATGTTTCATGCTTCGTAAGAAGGCACACAAAAAAAACACTTTTTTGATTTCTCTTTCAAAAGAAGTCGAAATATGAAGGAAAAAAAAATCAACAGCACGTATTGTTATTATGTATTCAATATCTCTTTTTTTGGCTCGTAGTGAGAAATATTATGATTTTTTTTTATTTTTTATTACACATTTTTTTCCTCTTTTATTTTATTCGCTACTGCTGTTGTTGTTCAATAATAATGTACATACGCTTTTCTAACGGTGAAAAAAAAAAGCAATAATATTGCTACTGCTTAGCGTCAAAAATAAAACATAAAGATTATTGAAAAATCTCACTCTCGATATCTTTATCCTCTTTATCAGTCGTGTGCTGTGTGAGATTGATAATTTTCTAATGATTGTGCTTATTTGTCGCCTTCACAAATTGCTTTTGATAATCGCTTAACCGATAAATTTTTTTGGAAATGAACTCAATAGGTTGCCCACTCATTCTTTTTGCTCATTAGAAGTTAATGCGATTATCGTCTTTGACTTCTTTTTATTGAACTTTCACCTGTCGCAAGTCTCTCTCTATTTGTTTTTTAAATTGTAGTTAATTTGGTGTGAAAACAAATGCGAGAATGATATTGAGAATGAATAATGATGACTTAACGGTTGTTTGGAATTTAAAATTTTTTTTGCAAGAATCTTAATAGAGTCATAACTCATGGATTATGGAGGTTAAAAGAACTTCATTTCTTCATGGTTAGTAAGTTTTGCCAATTTGTAGATGCAGTATTGAGTGAGTTTGAATATCAATAAAGCTTATGTAAGTTTTGAAATATTTACAAATTTAAAAAACATAACAAAAAAATTTAAATTTTGAAAGCTTAATGAAAAACTTTGAAATTTATGAATAATCGAAATTTTAATTTTAAAAGAAATTTAAAATTTCAACTTTTGAAAAAGGATTAAGAATTTTAATTTTTTGAAAAAATCAACGGAATTTACAAATAATTTTAAAAATAAGCATTCCAAATTTTAAAAAGATTCTTCAACTTTTTTATCAAAATTAAATCACTTTATATCATAGACACTCAAAGTGCCTACAAAACAATGATTTTCGAGAAATCAATATCACAAAAATAAAAAAAAATTCCAGTGAAAAGATTCTTGTGCATTTATCATTAGCCCATTAACGAGCGATAATGAACTTCAATGGAAACTCGCTGATAATCGTCGAAAACAAAACTGTTAATTAATAATAAAATACAACTCATAATTTATTAAATGGTTTTTCATTCAACCCAAATTGCTTTTACTTGCTTCATTTGTCACGGAATGTATTATATCCTTTTCGTTTTTAAATAAATATTGAATTGTGTGTGATAAAATTCAGTAGAACGAGTCGGTTGATGTATAGTATTATAAATTTATACGTAATAGATGAGTAATGCCTTAACAAGCTAACAACATAATTTTAATAATATTTTCAAATTTGATGAACAAGAATCTAACCACTTTCAAAATATTCATGCCCGTTAATTTGATAACTAATTACAATTTTTGACTTCCGCTTAAGCACAATACAAAGAATTATTAACATTCAACGCATTAAGTAGCGCGAAGAAGAAAAAAATAAATAAAAATTCTTTTTATTCTTTTATGATTTACAAAGTGATCAATCAAAAAACGCCCAAAAGTTCTGCCTACGTTAAGTTATAGCGAAAAACTGTCTTCTCTTTAGCGCATGTTTACAAAACAAATAAGCTTTTTTTCATTCACTTCGGGTTAGTAAATTGCATTATTTACTATAATTTTTTTATTGGGGAGAATTTAGAAAGTTGAAAAACTTTTTTTTTTCTTGTGATTTATTTTATGCCATTTTGTAGATGCACACGGAATATATTTTATCGACTTTAGGTTAGAGTTTAAATTGCAAAAATCTGTCTCATTAATTATTAATAAGGATGATTACAAAGTAACGGTCATAAAAAATTCAAAATTCTAAATTACCGTTAAATTTTAAAACAATCATAATTGTTGAACAAAAAGCATTTCAATAAATCAACCCACGAACGGACGGCGACGAGCTTTGTATTTTTTCTTTCTTTAATAGTATAGCATAGACATTTTCGCATACACGCGTTACCTATCGATAAAATATAATGAAATATCATTATCATCTTTACAAAGCAACAATAAGTTCACATTCTTTAATTTCATAAAAGAGGAAATTCCCAATTGATTTACTAATGAATTTAAAGTGAGAAGAATGTACCACGTGCATTAGACTTACATATAGCTCTTTATTAAAATTAATTAATTGTTCTAAACGATAAAATTCTCTCTTGCTCAAAAAAAAAAAAAAATCTTCACGTCGGTTCTTATTTCTTAATTCATTCATTCATATTCTCCATAGCCGAAGCTTTTGTCTTTTTTACGGGATTTAAATTCAATCAAACAACAAGAGAATAAAAAGAATAAAAAAACGTTAATAGCAGTAAAAGAGAGAAGAAAAAAAAAACTAAAACATTTTTTTTTTCGTTAATATAAAAAAGTATTTTCTATTGTATGGTATTTCAGTTACGGTTTCGAGTATGTGTTTGTATGTATAATATCTTTGAAACTTTATAACTTTCCGAAAAATATGGTAAATCATAATTTTATTTTTCTTCTTCTCACTCCCTCGTTTATATATTTTTTTTTTCTTCTCTGTCTCATTCTACTTGCGGAGAAGATGATTAGAAAGAAACATTCCATTTGATTGCATTAGAGCTTACTCAATGAATGTAGATTTATGGATTTATAGTTATGGTGAAATTGAATTAAGAGATTAGAATTTTTCATATTTGATGCAATTTTCACTTTTCAATTGCTATTCTCTCTCTCATTTTCTCTCTGTCTCGCTTATTCTCTCGTGATCTGCTTTTTCATGGCATGTGTTCATAAATTAAATAAATTTTATAATAAAATTAATTGCAATTGCAAAAAAAAAAGTTGAGTTTATAATTAAGTGAATTCATTAACATTTAATAAATTATTATCAATATTTGTAGTTGTATACATGCACAATAAAGTGCAATGCGTCTCAAACATATGATCGCTGTGACGTCTGTGTGTTGAACGTTTTTTTTTCGAAGAAAAAAAAATTCAATGCTACAATTTTTTTTTTATTTCACTTCGTGACAATTAAAAAGCTCACATATAGTGATAACAGAAAACCCACAGCTAATATGAGTAATTAACATTTAAATGAATATGATACCATATAATCTTTATTTTCACGTTCAGCACATACAAACATACGCATACATTCCATACGACTTTATAAAGTTTTTTTTTCTTCTGATATTTTTTTTTTGTGGTTTGGGGATTTAGTCAGCACACATCAAGTATTAAAGTGCAAATTTAACGACTTTTTTCAAATTTGAATATTTCAACCTCAACCTCAATTTTTTTTCTTCGCTCACTTCGAAAAGTATTTTGAATATTTCTAGCTCAATAGTAATTATCCTAACCCAATTCTCATCAAACAACCTTCAAAAAAGTGGCGAAATCATAATCCAAACAACCCGCATCATTATAACCATATAATTCTCAATATATTAATGAACTAATCAACCAATAAAGACAAAATGAATGCACAAGCACATTAAGTGTAGCAATAAGTCACTAAAATATTTTTCGTTCGTTCTTTCTTCTCACTGCCAGTCGCTGTGCTCTCTCTCACTCTCCCCATTTTTTTCTTCATTTTATAATAATACGATTTCGACTACGACGACGACTTACGAGAGATATTACCGAGTCTACAAGTGTACGCTTTTTTATTTCTTTGATTTATTGTAGATTTTACTACAGAGATGATGTTGCTTTTGTTCATCGTTTTCATTTCGTTATTACATTATATGTATCCATATAATATATATATGTGTATTACTTACTTGTAATTTTGTTGCTGCTGCTGCTGTTGCTGTTGATATCTATTCTGGCCCCTTTGTTTATCACGCTTAATATCTGCCGTTAAACGCGAATATGTATTGTGAATAATTACGGAAATTCTTAAATTATTTTCGGAATCTTTTATACGTTCCAGCTTTCTAAGACACATTTGTAACACTCTTTTTCGCTTTTCACGCATTCTTAACTCATTTGATATCATTGAGAGCTTATTTTTTGCTCGTCTAAATGTCCTTGTTTCATCGTCATCATTCTCTGAAAAAAACTCCTCTTCCCCTCGCTGTTCTTCGTTTGTTTCTGGTAAGGTCATGTTGATTGGCAAATAAATTTTATTAATCTCCACTTTATGTTACTCTGTTATTTTTCTTCGTGTTCTTCTGTTATTTTTTTTCTTTCGCCTCTCTGGTTTCAGCAAAAGCTACTTGCTAGCTTATAATATATTATATGAATAATCAGTATATGAACTCAATAACTCATTTATTTATATTATTATTTTTCATACACACACACTCACTAAAGTTCTTCTTGAATATGCACTGAAATAATTGAAATTTATATCCTTATGTAAAATGATTCAGTCTCTATATGTCTCGATGTGGATATCCTTTTTCACTTTAATATGAAAATTATGATTGCAGTCTCTCTGACTTGTCGTCGAAATACTTATTTAGAGGGAGAGAAAAAAAATTGTCTTTTTGGTGCTACTACTTGCTGCTATTAGCTACAACATTAAAAGTGAAACATGTTATCTTTCATGCGTTTGGCCTTGCTAAGATTTTCTTCTCATTTATAGTAGCTACACGTATGTGTGTAAATATATTTAATTATTGTTATTATTGTTATTGTATTTCAACAGCACTATGTATATGCACATATAGTCAAGTAGAATAATTTTTTAAGCTTTTATTTGTTCAACATCAAATAGTCATTATATTGAGATGAAGTGAGTATAAAAATCTCGGAAACCTTTTTAATAGGTTAAAAAAAAGGTTCATTCAATTTTCTTCCTCCTCCTCCTCTTTATGCTTATTTTTCTTCAATCTTTCTCGCTCACTCGCCGTTTGTAATTCAATATTTAAGTATATTTAAATTAATTATCGTCTTCTCAAATGTTGCTTAATACAAAAAAATCTCTTCTTTTGTCTCTTCACAATTTATATCCACTTTTAAAGATGAAACTGTTAATTCTGATTATTTCCTCTTTTCTCACTTATTCCTATTAATATGATTCACAATTAGTTCTTTTTAAGTTCTTTTTTTTTTGGCTATTCTCTTTAGTTGCAGATCATAATCATAAATAATAACCTATTTTCTTTCCTTGAGTTTCAATTCAACATAAAAAAACTAATACATAATAGATAGATAGATATACACATATTTCTCACAAAGCAAGAGTGAAAAGAAATTTTTCTCTTGCCTTTTATAATGTTCCGAATATGAAAAACTTTTTTTTTTATTTTATTTTTTCTCGTATGAAATTTTTTGAAGTCTTTGTTTATAAGCGGAGCTATATTCCAAATCCGTCTGCTCTATAGCACGACTAGCGCGAGAATAAGTCAAAAAATTTATTTTATTTTACTTTTCTTTCTTCACTCTGTTGTGTAGCGTTCAAAGACACAATATAGTACAGTGTCTGTGAGAGTCGTTCTCTCGCTCTCTTCGGTACCATTTATACTCTGCAAAAATTATATTTGTATATATATACACATATATTTGAGGGAAAAAAGAAAGAAATAATAATATAATATGTATTATACACGTTCAGTGGAAAAAAGAAAATGAAATGCGAAAGTCTCGTAAAAAAGTATAAGGGAAAGAAATAGATGATGAGGAAGAAGAAGAAGAAGAAGAAGTAATAATAAAAAAAAATCATATTAAGGGATGTTTGCTAGCTAACATAAAAAGTTATAAACTTAAATTGATATCTACTGAATGAGTGACTGAAACATTACATACAGAAAGGCGATTCCATATCTCTTTTTAATGCATTCTCTCTTGAAATTTTTGTGTTCCTTATTAATCACTTTAGTTGACTGGATTTACGACCGAATAATTTGTTGATCAACCTGGGTGGCATTTAAATTTTTGATTAACTTTACTATCTTGAGATTTATTGGCTTATTGATGCTAAGTATTTCCGATAAAATTGATCATTATCTCTTGAGACTCTTCATATTGCTCTTTAATGAAAGTTGTGAGAATTTTTCCTACACAATTGTTTCGAAATTCATTCTCATATGACGTCTACAAATATAAGTAGTTTTGGAAAATATAAAACAGCTTCACAGCTCTAACGTAAATTTTATAACATGAATTATGAATAGTACTCAATAAAAAGTGTGCCTAAACTGTTGTGGATCGTTCACATTTGACGTCTATCAAAAAATATGATTTATGTACATGTTTTGATAATAAATGAAGCTACAGAGCGCTTAAGACTCCCTGGTTGTTCACATATGACGTCTATCGTCAAGATAGGATTTAAAGGCCCTGTCTATAGCTCCCTATCTATAATAAAAATCATATAGAACTTTAGAGAGCTTTGAACTCACTCCAAAAATTTTGTGACACAATTTATGAAAGATCCCTTGATAAAAATTTTGCTTCCTTTGCCTATTACAATCCCTGGGTTCAATCTAATTTTCGAAGCTCTTTTTCCATTTCACCGTTCTATTTACGAAGCTCGGTTCGTGTGTTGGGTGTAGTTTTGAGGTCTTTGGCACAGAATATGCCTCCTTTGCTAGGTATACAAGGATTTACTAGCATCTGGATGACTTCCTTACGGCATCTTGCGCACACGAATTGTGACTAAGTACATTGCAGGGTACATCGGGTCTTATGACGTACTCGTGTATTTGCAATGTGCAGAGCTTGCAAGTGGTTCGGATCCCACTATAAACTGTAGGTCTAAAGGGTGTGGTACAATAGATTCTGTTCTAATTTGAATCGCAGTGCCTCCAGCTGAAAGGCTGCGCCCTTCACACATTATTATTATATTGCCTATTACAATTTTCCAAGTCGCTATTTAAATAAAAAATATTCGTTATTGATAAATTCCATATTTCTATAGCAAAATGAGGTCATTATATTTATCGAATGTTTACATTCATACTTCCATTGCCTCGTAGTTTTGACTTGAATGAATTGTTTCAATGTCTAATTCTGATTATTACTTCAATTTAGTATTTTTATGTTAAATTAAAGTTACTCTTCAAAATGTCTGCAAAAGTATCAAAAAAAAATCGTTTACGGTAAGAATGCGCTGCATTAACCCAAATAAAGAGAAGAAATGAAGCAACAATTTTATTGCTATAGTCTTTTCATCCTCTTCTGTGTTTCTTTAGTCACTCATTTGTTAAGATTTAGAAATCATTGGCAACATTTTTATCTTCTCTCTCTCCTCTTCATTATATTTTGTTTATTTCCTTCTCACATGCATGCATGTATATACAAATCGAATATACTTGAATTGAAACAACAAATAACAAACTAATCGTCAATATATTCAAGTCTAAAATATATATTTTCTTGCTCTTCTTTGGCTGATGCGATGATGAGGCTGACTTGTATGAAGTGTGAGTAAGGAATAAAAAAAAAATATTCCAATTTAAATTAATCGGTTGTTGATTTGTCGCGATTATAAATAAATTGAAAAAAATTAATGTAAACTAGGTTTTCTGCGTCGTCATAGTTCGGACTCTTTTACTCCATCTGCTGATTCTCTCTTTCTCTCTCTCTCTCTCACTTGCTCAATTCTCAGGGAAATACTACAATTATCATACATATTAATACTATTTTCATTTTCATTAGAACTTATAGTTGTTTATTTAGAGTAGATATAAGTAAACACACGAAAAAAAATTGACAAAATGCGCACTTAAATGAACGTAAGCATGTATAATGTTCATATATCTTCTATGAGAAGCAGCAATAAACAACCTCCTCATTTACAAGCGGAGAGCCCTTGTTCTTTTTTTCAATGAATTGTGTGTTTATGACGAAACACTTTGTGTGCAACGAAGCTAAAATTGCACGTAGGCAGACAAGGGAGAGAATATACAGTACTTGCAACTGTTACTTGCATGTATAATAACATAATCTAATACTGATGATAATAACAATTAAATACGTACTTACTAACTTAGGCTTAATGAAAATTTGTACTTTACAAGTCAGTTCAACTGAAAAAAAAAGTTCACATTTCTCTTTTTTGTTTCTGTTTCTCATTTTCTTTCCGTCTTGACACTGCATCTAGTGATGCCGTTGTCATCACCACAAGTCGCAAATCGCAAATCATTAATGTCGTTGTCTTTGTCGTTTTGTTGAAAGCAAAATAAAAAATATTATTATTATTATTTTATATACATGTAAGTAGGAAAGTCATTGGCATGTCAACGACTGAGCTGAGGCGATTTTTCATACTAAGAGAGAAAAAGTTTTTCCGCATGAAATCATCACGCTTGCTATCATGTGAACTTGTTTACTACGAATCATGTATGTTTATTATTTTAAGATGGCCTATTCAATGATTTTCTTTCTGTTTCTATTAAGCATTTTCTAGTTGCTCTATGTTTCTTAGAAGGTTGGTAGAGTTTTGTGAGAGGTAGAATGAAATGTATAAAAAAAACCTGTAGATTACAGGACTTTGACTTTTTTGTATATTAATCGTGATTTATAAATCCATTCTTTTAATGGCACATGCACTTGAATGAATGCAATGATAAATTCTCATTTTCTTTTGCAATTATTTCATTTAAGCCTCATACAGGTATTGTAGCGTTTATTGATTGGCTACTGGGCTTTATTGTTTTTTTTTCTGTTGCTGCTGTTTTGTTTTGTTCATTTCTGTACTGTTCGAGCTGATGTTAATTTTTTTTAATTTTTTATGGGGTTTTCTGATAAGTTTTAAAGAGTTTTGACATTTTATTAAGCGACTGTTTATATCCATATTTAAAGATATTGTTCCATGATTTTGAAACCTAAATTTATTTTTAATAACCTGGTCAAAAATCCCAGGATCGTCACTTATTACGTAACATAAAAAAATTATTTTTTGACTCAAGTGAGAATCAATTTAAATTTTTAAGGGCGGAGAAGTAAGGAAATACCTAAATATCAGCCTTTAAATTATCAATAAAACTTGTTAGATCCCAGGTATCCTTTTTAAAACATTTTCATACTTTCATAAACTTACAATCACTTAACAAATAATCTAATCTCTACGTAGCTTAGTCACAAGGTTCTCACTCACTTTCATGTGCAGTGAATCATCCTATGTATAGAAGAAAAAACAAATATCAAAAAGATTGGTTCCTCTCACTTATTTATATTCAAATAATTTAAAATATTTTAGTCTCATGTTCCGGAAGTTAAACTCGTTAGAAAGGTTACGGAAAGTCACATATCCACTTTAAAATTCAAACTGTCGATGACAAAATGAAGGTTCTATAGTCAAACCGCGTGGATATCTCACAATAAAAACTCGTGTCGTTAGAAATTGCTGTATGGAATTTCACGATGTCATCAAGTGAAAAAATATGATGAAATTAGAATAATAAAAAAGAAATTTTGCGCACGTTCATTTCCTTGAAAGTCAGCCAAAAGTTGATGAAATTTATTATTTCATTTTTTCAAAAATTTTATTTGCGTACAAAGTCATTCAAAGAAAAAAAGAAGTAAAGACGAAATTTTACATTTTTGTCAATTCAGCACATAAATAAAATCTAGCCGCAAAACGTTCCACGCTGGAATGTCTCGCAAAGAACAAAATAAAAAATATTTGCTTCCGAACAAAAAGGCACTAATTATATGTACGTAATCGCCAGAGTACACGTGTAAACAACGCTATTCTATAATTAGCAAAACTCTACTCTCACTTTCTTCAGATAGAAAGAAGAAAAAAAATAATAATATTTAATTTATTTTTAAATCGAATAATCGCATTTCTCATTCATCCATTGAATCCATCCAAAATGAATGCACACGACTAATTTATGTTGTACAAATTTATGCTTACAAAAAAAAAGCAGAAATGAAACAAAGAGAATAGAAGAAATAAAAAAAAGTGAAAATGCCTTTCAATATTGTCGAGTTTAATTTTTTAGCA